TTTATTTAAGTGAGTCCAGCTGTGGCTGAACATTCCAATCCCCCTTACCAGTGTTGGCAAAACAAGTTTTTTTTTCAAAAAAAACAAAAAAAAAATCAAAATGACTTTGGATATGAGCTCATGTCGTGATGAAACTTTTGTATTGTGAGAATATTAAAAAAAAAACCACGTTGTAACCTATTAATCAGAAGAATTATGATCCCAGTTGGGTAGTGGGAGACCATATGTAATAGAATCAGTGAAAGCACCACAAAATCGCTGCGTTCCATTCCTCTGATAAATTCCAGCAACCACAAGTGGCACCAATACAACTGGCTTCCGACAGGCAGACCTGTCTCATGGAATCTTTAAGGGCAGGGGGTGGGGGGGACAGCGAGAGGTGGGAGCAGAGGCCACTGATGAGTAATTCGAGGGTGGGGAGGGCGGGGGGAAAGAGGAGGGGAGAGGAAATATTTCTTCCAAAATGTGGTACGTTTTAGTGTTGCTCGCTCCTTCTCTTTGTAAAATGATCCAGGCAAAGGAGAAGAGGTTTACATTCTGTTCTGCAAACAGATGGAGCTGGAAAGTCTCTCAAGCAGAGGTTCGAAATAGTGTGAGACTAATAGCTGAAGTGCTCAGCTGTCCTTGCACTCCAGTAATTTAAGTATCCCTGACCTGGTGCAACCTCCTGATCAACATAAAGTGCGAGAGCAGAGAAGTCCTGTTAAGTGATCTGCACATCGCATAATTTTAATTAAGTGTAAAGAAGCGCAAGGTAGAATTCATTCCCACAAGTGGCGACCAAATCTGCATCAATAGAATCACTGGATTAATTTTAAAAAAGGGGCAATTTAAAAAAACAGGTAGGATTGACACAGACACACTGCCCGTGCCCGCCTTCTGTGCTGAAATGTCTGTGCTTCCATGCTGAAGTGCTTTAATTTGTTCATGTCCCATGGTTTCTGTAATTTAAGCACATAACATCACGGTGCCGTCCATACGAAATTATCAAGTATGTGACGAGTATCGACTGATCGGGGCGGGTTTGTTGGAAGGTGAAATATATTGGGTGAAAGTATTGAATTGGAAGATGTGGGTTAAAGTTTGCTTAAAGTAGCAGTATATACCGCACGTATGAATAAAATGTACTGGTTCTGGGGCGTGCTAGGGTCAAATAAAGCTGGTAATCTTCACTTTCCAATTGACCATCATGCTCTCCTGAAGTCAGTGTTGTGTTCCTTTGTACTGTTCCGTGATTACTGCCAGTCATCGGATACTTTGCTTCAAGTGATTATTCTACATGTGTGAATGCAGACAATGAGTGCTTGCAGGCCATTCGACTGTAAGGGCCAAGATAAGATAGCTGAAGGACAAATCTGTCTTCACTGGATATTCACTCGAGTAACCTTTCCAGCAAGGATCACTGGATCCTGATCAGGAGTCAGGGTTTATTTATTTTTGCTGCAGCCTTGGGATACCGTGACCAGTTTTAGTGAACTCACCTGTGACATGACCGAGGAAGTCTTTAACTCAGCCCAGCCCACAGATTGAACCTAGGATCTTCCTTAACTGTATGTTGCCAATTGACAGCAGACGAGCTGGACAGGGATTCAAATTTGAACCTGCTAATAATAATAATTTGTGGCGTGTGGAGTTACAGGACTTGTGGAGTCCTGTAGCTCAGTGATTAAGGCACTTGCTTCGCAAGCGAGAGATGTGGGTTCGATTCCCGGCAGGGGGCGAAACCTTGGACAAGTTTCCTTACTCCACACGCCTGATAATAATCCCTCAAGGAAAAAACAGTAAGAAATTGGTCCCTTCAATCCACGACTGTTTGTGGGACGCTGCTGTGGCCAATTGGCTGCCGTGTTTCGCCCACAAACATACAGTCAATTCACTTTACAGTATATTCTGTGAAGCGCTTTGATAGCACATCACAGGCCATTAGCTGATGTGAGAATGAATACTAACCTGATTGATGATCAGAGGTTCCCAGAATTGCTTGGTTGGCATAGGTTGAGCTTTACGTTGCTACTGTAAGCAACTTAGCTCTTTACTTCTCTTAAATTGTGTTTTTTTAAGTGAAGCTGGCGCAATGCCTGCAGCTTGCGCTAACACTTGGTGTTGGATCTTTATTTTGTTTAGCTCTCAGTTTATGTCTGCCGAACTTCCCCCCCCACTCCCCTCCCCCCCCTTAAAGTGCTTTCCTGGAGATAAACAAAAGATTGGTACTATAGAGCCAGCATTCAGGCTGATGACAGAATAGGGTTCTGAACGCTCTTGATTGGTAGATAAGATGAGAAAGGCTATTTCTTGCATGTGAACACAATGCAACATCCATTAAGCATGGGGCTTGTAGAGGCATACTTCCTTTTCAATTTAATCGGTTGCCTTTGGCAGATCTTTCAGCAAGGATTAAGATGACATAGTGGAAAATGGGACATTTCCTGCGCACTTTACAAGCAAACAACATGCCTGCCAGAGCGTATTAAACTACAGTTCTGTATGTTCATGCAAATACTTACGTCGTGTGATGTCAGCTGCTTCAAGCATCATTAACAATCTTATTTGAAAAACAAAGTTTGTAAATGTCTGGGAAATAAAAGCAGCTTCTTGCTTGGTAATATCAGCAGTCAATGAAAGTCGTTTCCTTCCGAGATACTGCTCGGAATATTGTGAGATTTTTTTAGGAGATCTATTTTTCCACCAAAGCTGAAAGCTTACGAGAACTAAGCAAACTTCATTCTCGCTTACGTTGAGAGTAACGTTTATCGCTCCGTGACCTGTTTCTGCTACTCAGCTTTTTGCCTTGATATCAGTTCCTTTAAAAACAATATGTATTGCCTCCCTTTCGGTCTCACCAAAGCCAATACATAAACGAATAGACCAAAAGCCACCCTGGTGTGAGTTACATAAAATGACGTGGAGTAATGCAGTACCAAAACGGGCCATTCAGCACAACCAGTACATGCTGTTGTTTAGACTTAAGCCGCTGCCCTTAAAATTCCCCTCTCCTCTACCCCTCTATTCCCTTCTCCCTCATGTAGGATTATGATATTTGTTAAGGTCCACATAAAGCACAGTTAAATCATCAGCCTACTTAGCTTGCTTTTATGAAGCTCAGTTGTGTTTTTTTTGCAATCATTTACACGTTTTCTTTTATAAACTGAGGTGCTCCCATCTTTTATACCAAGGCCGCAGTGCTTCTCTGTCAAATATTGCTACCACCATAGCTTGAGGAACACTTAAGAATCAATGATGCCATAAAGCGGTGATAGTTGAATTGAAAGCGATTGTGGGAATCCAAGTGATGCTATTGCATTTTCGATTTGTGTTTTATTGATTTTTTGGGCAGGCCTGAATTTATGATTATTGCAAGGTCGTCCTATAAATTACTTTTAAACAATCTGTCCTCTTGCAAGATTATGAATCTTCCTAATCACATCCAAATATTTTAATAACAACAGTCCATCTGTGAGCAAATTCACCAGCTGGAATGACAAAGTTCACATTGTGTGAATTCCACAGGTGAGGATCATTTGCTGCTGCTGCTATTTAACATTCATGGAAAAAATTCCTCCATCGCATCGCTGGTACAACATGTTGCTTTGCAACACAATTTAATTCAGTATTGAGTCACAGATTTCTTTGTTATGCCAGAGAATTGTGGATTGCTCCCAGTCTATGGTATATGATAGACACCCATCTGTTGTTTGTTGGTATGTATTAAAATAACACTTCTGCTTTGCTGTTCTTTATCGAAAACTTACATCAGGTTCCCTGAGAATGACAGATGTCTGGCAGTGTTGGTCCATCATATATTATATATTAAACCTAGTCAAAATCATCTATTTGATTAAAATATTTGCAATATGAACCGACAATAAAAGGGGATGATGCAGCTTATGGCTGTTCTAGCAAAACTCAAAGGCCAACTCTTTTATTAAAAGCACTCTGTGAACCATCTCATATTTCCTATTGTAGTTCAGAGGTTTTGCTTTGCTCTGCTAGTTATCAAGTTGCTTCAGAAAACCAGGCAGCATATTTATCCCTGTCAACAATTACTATTCATGCATTTTTGACTGCTGAATGTTTAAGTTTGTCATGGGAATCTCACCAAGATAAGAATTGGTCATTTTATAAGTTGATGATCAGCTGGTTGTGAATATTATATATATTTTTATGAACACGGATTCTGGATAAATACATAAACTTTCCATTTTTCCTCTAAATTCCTGGGGCAAATTTGGTTTGGTTTGTGTTGCACTGGATTTTTATAACAACATTCAAACCTTACTTTGGTGTCCATGACTGCACTCCACGTCTGGTATAATGTACATGATCTGCTTTCCTCTGACTCACATCATTGCTCAGCAACCAGTGAGTAATGGGATTTGTCCTTCTAAGTGGAAAGAGAGTACGTACAGTATTTACCGTAAAAACTGAAAGTCCAGCTCCCCTGATGGTTCAATTGGTACAACCAGCGTCTCAAGTGAAGGTGAGGCATACAAACTCAGATGGTGTGCACTGAGTTAGCCGATCTTATCTAAGTTGCAATAGGAGTAGTATAATTAGCCTCAGTGTCCCTGAACTACAATAGGAAATATGAGATAGAGATCTTGCTCCTGACCCACTATCTCGTTCTCTCTGGTGGCGAACCAGATGTACTCTTCAACATCAGAAGCTTCCATCCTCGTCAGTCTCCATTTATGGTCTTCAGAAAATATGCCTTGATTCTTGTCCCTCCCCCTCACACACACATACAACGTTACCAACAGAAACAACAGCTTTCACTTCTTATTAAAGCGTTACACAGAAGTGGATTGGGAGCCAAGCAGGGTGGGAGATAGGAGGGCTCTAAGGTGATAATGAGTGACTGTAGTCATTAAATAAATGGGGGGTTGTTTAGAAGGGGATTGAAAGCACAGAGTACTACACAGAATAATAAAATAATTTCTGTACATCAGACAATTCATGTTCTTATCTGTTATTATTTATAAACATTGCACCTTTTCTTGTAGGGATCTACGATTCAATCGCATTAAGGAAATCCGGCCAGGAGCCTTTAAGAGACTAAGGAATCTGAACACACTGTGAGTATTGGCTCATTTTCCAGGCAAGATTTTTTCTCTCTCGCTCTCTCTCCACCCCCCCCCCACCCCCCCTCCTCTCTCTCTCTATGTAGTCTTACATTAAGAGTCTCCAACCATGGGGTGTGATAGGAACTCATATTGACAATGAAGTCTTCTGTGTGCTTGGGGAGGGTTCCAAGACAAGCTGAATGCAAATTCACTGTGTGACATTGAATGTTATAGTGGGGTTTGAACGCTTACCTCTTGGTTGGGAGTGTTCAGTTATTAGCAACAGTTGTGTGTAAATGGCTAGGAGTCTGGCTCCTTGCAATAAGTGATTGGATTCTAAATGTTATTGGTTTTAAACTGGTTTTGTCAGCAATGAACTTCAGGAAAAAAATAGTGATTTATTTGCCTCCTTGAGAGGGTTATTTTTGTCTCTATGGTGATGACTTATTGACAAAATGCTGTTTTGAAATGTATTTTATCAGTTATTGAATCAAGGCGGCAACAAACTGTATCATGTAGAGGATGGGGGGGGAGGGAGTGCAGTTATTTGTTCTATTATTTGAATTATAGACTCTACTGAAAGTGTATTTCATGGTTAGAGAGTTTCTGCTCCATAGAGGTTCCCTTGTTAGCATTTTACTCTAAATTACAGTCATTGTAACTGGCAAGTCGAAAACTTCTCAGTAAAATAAAGGCTCTTAAACATTTGAAACTTTTTTCTTTCAAAACAATGCTGCCAAATCAGATGCTTATGTCTCCAGTGAATTGGATAACTTGCCAACAAACCATCGAAAAGAGCGCATGAATTGTGGGGCTCTGGTACCCAACTGGCAAAGAACGTGCAGTATTGTGGGCCTCTTCACTATTTTGCAGCCAAAAAATGGAGCAAATTCTAAGCGTATATAATTTGTCTGTTAGACAAAGATACTGAAGGGTTTGTTAACTCAGCTCAGGATATGGATGACTCTTGACAGGGCCAGGATTTATTACCCATCTCCCTGGTCATCCTGAGAAGATCGCAGTGGGACCTCATTTGTAAACCACAAACAGCTGTTGTAATAATGGTACTCCCACCATGGCGTTGGGGTCAGGGAGCTCCAAGAATTTAACGCCGAAGGAAATGTGCTAAATGACCAGGTCGGGACGGTGAGTGATGAGAAGGAAAACTTGGAGGCTGGAAGTCAAGTCAGGTCATTTCTGCTGGACTGTTTATTTTCAAAGGGATTCACTCCAATGAGTTGAGTTTAATTCAAAATTGATTTCAGCCCGACAAGCCTCCAGTGGTATGTGCATCTCAGAGTTTCTATATAAAGGGAGTGCGAGCTTCCCAATTAAAATCATATCATACTAGAATTGTTCAAGGTGGGTGAGAGGTTGTAAACATTGTACTTTTAATAATATTTTTTTTGAATTTTTTTGCAGTCTAATATGTGATCTGAACCAAACTTTGCACTGGCCAGGAACACTCCTTTTCACTGTTCGTGACTGACTGAGATTTTGGAATGTAGAGGGAAATGGCCTTAACGTGAAATGCAATTGATCAAGTCAATCCTGTCAGAAAGGTTACAACCTATTGGTTGAAATCGTAAATTTAGTGGAAGAATTCTATTCAGTTAGCGAGTTGCTAAATAGCTACTTAGAAACAGCCAAGAAATGATATTTCCTTTTTTTCCTCTGCTCACATTTTTTCATGAGTGGAGTTCCTGTAGGAAGGGAGTGGCTGTAAGCAAATCTGTGTCAACGTGCCACAGATCCATGTGAACGGTACACTCGGTTCAGTTGAAGAATTGGACCTCCCCCACCTCAATACCAGGACAGCGCAAAGGAAATTAAACCCAGCAGCAAAGTAGGACTCAATTTTAAAATTAGATTGTCAACCGTTATAGGACTTGGTGGAAAGACTTATATTGCATGGTTTCCAGACTCCTTTGTAGCCCAGAAATATACTTGGCTGGGGAGGAATCAAATGCTTCCTTCAAAGAATGAGTAGACCTACGTTTATTCTGCTTATGTCCTCATTATTGTGGATCTATGCAAGTGATGGTCTGTTCAGTTGAAAGTACATTCGGGCTGAACACTGAAGGAGGCAAAATAAAGCTAATGTTCTTTCATTGATGGTCCATATGAACCTTTTTTTCACAGGAGCGTCAAATGCTTCCTTTATGCATCTGTAATTTTCATAGTTATTTTCCAGTGTACTTTTGGGAGGTTGAGCAAAAGAGTGTGCTTTGTACTCCGGTGAAAAATGTGACCATTGTGGGTTTCCTCTGGAATAACTGGCACACAAGGGTACATTCTACAAGGTCTGATTCAGACTATAGGCTATACATAAACTATGTGTAGAGGCGGGGTGGCGGAAGGCAAGAAATACAGGGGTCTAAAGATTCACTCTGTTTATACGTTACCGGAAAAGTTGTCCTTTTAATCGTTCCTGAAATAAAATTCCGGGTGACTATTTTTCTCTTTTGTTTAGCTGTTTTTTTGTAAAAAAAATTAAGAAATAATCACGATGCATGAATTAACCTCATTCTATTCAGCACATACAAATTAGAAAACATCACGACTATTTTCCCCCTGTTGTGAACGGGATCAAATTTCATGGCGTGCACACATAATGGGAAAATCCATTAATCTCATTATGAAGGCCCAGTGCCAAATTCAGTAATCACACCAATGGGAGAAATAACTTAAATGTGTATATTTGAACATTTCAGATTAAATTTGGCATTTCAAGGATTAAAGAGTAAAATATCTATCACTTTTACTAAAGACATCCCAAATTTCCGTGACCCAATTGAATGGTCTTTAAACTAAACATTATTTAGTAACTGCACAATGTGCATTGTGTGAGTGTTTGTGTGTGTGCATGTGTTCTTTGCTATCTCAAAGCTCAACTCAGTTAAGACTTGATTTGGCTTCTTGGCAATCTGGAAACCCTCTGGAGCTGTCACATTTAAGGCAGTAAATTCAGACCTGAATAGTGCAGTTGTCTTGCTAATCCGCCTCTTTTTCGATGGTGCCAATTGCTAAAATAATATGCTGTGCCTATTGCTATGCTCTTAACCACTTTGAACTCACTGATGAAAATATTTGTTAGGATAATATAAAATGTAGAATATAATTTTTTTAAAACTGTTGCATTTTTGCTCTGTTTGCCCGCTCTAAAGTGCTTTAAAGTACTAAACAGCATTAATCTTTTAAATTCTGGTTCTAAAATTGTGTATTTGCAGAAAGTAATCTGGTCTAATCCTCTAAATCTGCTGTCTTTAATCTAAGTTTCTCTTTCCCAAGATCACACTTTATGCATTGACTTTGTCTTCCAGAATATTAATTAAATAGAATTAATCTATGACCGAGAGAGGAAAGTGCTGGTGCTAAGGATTTCCATGTTGTATCCCTTGGCTGGCAAGATTTTAGTACAAAACCAGTCAATAAGATAAGATCTGCATTGGCTTGGAGCAATAGACTTATCAAGTACTGTTTGTGATTAATGTATGTCTGGTGATGAGCTTCTGTATGTGTTTGACACCCAGCTGACAAGGATTATTACAGTGCTTAAAACAGTTCAACATTGGAGATTATTCTTTTCCTTTTGCAAAGTGCTGCCACTCTTTCAATTGTAGCAGCATTGCAAGCTCACACGAAAGCTCACTACCTTAATGAATGGAGTAGAATAACTATTTTGAGAAGCTTCAAATTTCTTTATTACACATGATATTGTGAAAGTTGTATTGGCTGAACCAGCTGTAAACCAAATGTTGAATAGCCCTAAACATGTTGTGGACTGGTTTTGAACCAAGTTTGCTAAGGCAATATATTGGGCAAAACTTATTACTCACCATAAAATCCAACTCCATTTATAGACCCAACAAACTTGAGCATCATTGGGCTCAGAGTAACAAAGGAACAACACCTAAGAATTCAAGCAAATTTTTCATGCATTATTTCCCACATGGGTATATCGCTGTGTAACTCCCTTTTCCCTGAATAGGGAGGATTTTTTAACAAAGGAAACAAAAAAGAATAATGACTTACGCAACTCGAATTTCAGTGATTACTTCACTAAAGCAAACTCAGAGAGTGTCATCCACAAATTCTGTATGGCAGAGTATAAACTTTCTTCACCTTTTTTCCTTTCCCTCCGCTCACCATCCTCTCCTCTACTATGTATGTATATAAAATATACATATATATATAAAATATATATAAAATATACATACATATTTTTCATTTTTCACATGACTTTTACAATGAATTGCCCTTCTGCTTAAGGGTCTAAGGTAATTCTTCCAGAATATTTTGACTCTCTGCTTTTTCTGATTAGATTCCAATAAAGCTGTCATCCAGTTCAGATTGTCACTTACACATCTCCTCCTCACTCTGAGTTAGAAATCCTGCCTGATGAAGTATTTATCTCGGACGCAGAGAAAATAGCTGCTGGATTTTTTTTAGAAAAAGTATTTCTGTTGAATGTACTATTTTTGGTGATCGAAATGCAACCCCTTTAAAGTTCGGTAGAAATCATATGAAAGATCAGGTAATGGCAGATGTCATTCTTTTCTTCCATCTTAAAAGTTGAAGCATGTGGACAGTGTAAAACACGAGTTCTGAGACAAAGTCCAGATTCTGGACTGGAGCCTACAATGTGCGTGTAATGTGTATGTTATGAAAAGGTCGAGGAATTAGTGGCTGATTAATTAATCAGTAACCAGCTTTCAGTGTGTCTGATTGTCTGCTGGTTAGTAATTTTATCAACCTTTTAGTGGTGTGAGGCTATAACCCTGTATCGTCAGTGTTTCCTGCAGTTCCACAGCCATCTGGTACCTTATACAAGTAACAATTCTTCTAGCGAGCTTGAGTTGTACTATTTCACCCTGGAAGGCATCAAAGCCAAGTTTATTGCAGTCCTCGCTTGACATTTTTCTGCATTCACTTTCCCGTGTACCAAGTGAAAATTTTACTTTGCAGTATATTGGAATGCTTGGTAATGGGTTTGTACAGTTCTTTGTATGTGATGACTTGTTAAACTTCTCCTGGATCTTGTTTATTTATAATTTTTTAAATTTATTTTCTAAATGTCTTTCTTTTGTGTTCACTGGTGTTTTCATTCAGTTTATAGTTTCCTGTGATAAGAATATAAAACAGCAACAAACTCAGAATTTTTTATTTCTGAGCTTCCTACAAGAAGAGGGAAATCTGTGTTTTTTTTCTTTGTTTAGACCAAATGTGACATTGATGCCTCCCTGGACTGTCAGACATTTGGTTTATTGGCTGTACCATGGCTTAGTTTCTATGTAAAGTCTTAGGCTTTAAAGAGCTTTAACTAAATCAAATAACATGCAGTTTTCAACCCCCTCTCCACCAAACGTTTGCCAGAACATTTCAGGAAATCTCTTGAGAGCTTTTTAATGACACACGGCGAATGTGATTAAATACACACCTGGTGTGCAATTCAACAACTCCACTCTAAGTTAAACACTGTTTGTAATTGATTTTTAAGGAGCAGCTTTTCCAAATGTTTCCACATAAACAAAATAGTTCACGATAGGATCAGACTTAAAAGTATGTAAGAACATAAGAAATTGCTGGCGAAAGAAGACTAAGGTGCATCTAGTTTGCCTTCCACCATCCTGGCAGTCGATTGACATGTCATGTCCCAAACTTTCCACGGTATCCCCAAATAGTCCTGTAGCTCAGTGGTTAGAGCACTCGCTTTGCAAGCGAGAGACCTGAGTTCAATTCCAGGCAGAGGGCGAAACCTTGGGCAAGTTTCCTTACTCCACACAGAGCCTAATAATAATCCCTCCAAAACCAAAAACAATAATAAATTGGTCATTTTCAATCTACAACTGTTTGTGGGACATTGCTGTGCGCAATTGGCTGCCGCGTTCGCCCACAAATATACAGTCAATTCACTTTACAGTGTGTTCTGTGAAGCGCTTTGGGACGTCCTCCCGACGTGAAAAGCGCTATATCAAATGCAAGGATTATTATTATTATTATATTATTTTCTAGCAGAAATCTATCTGATTTGTTCTTGAAACAAACTTAATATTCTTTAAGCATTCCAATATACCATGAAGTAAAACAGTGATATTAGTATTGGGATGCCCTGCCCTATAGTACTCACTAATATGATTTGGAGTGTTACATGCCAGAAAGAATTCCCCTCACACTGCTCTACACTTGGAGTTACAGTGAAAAATCCTTCATTTCACTCACTTCCATTTGTTTAACAGTGAGAAGTCCCAGCTAACCAGAGGTGCAGGGAATGGCTCCACATGCAGTCTGACAGCTTTAGGGGATGAACTTCAAGGGGATAAATATCCGACTTGCCACTTTCATTTTGAGACCCCCAAAAAACTAAATTAATAAAATCTGAAACCGGAGTGGTATTTGTGCTGCGCTTCTACATTGGTTGATTTTCGACAAGAAACGTAGAAACTAAAAGAGTGCTGCTATAATTTACTTCCCAGTTAGCATCTGACTGTGCCAAAACACTTTGGTGCTAAATATTCACGCTCACAAATCAGTTTGAAAGTCAGGGCAGCGGTTGTTGTTATTTAGACCGATTATGACAGTTAATGTGTCCCATGAGCTGTCACACATTCAGCCTGATGTCTGCAGACTCATTTTCAATTAATTGATCAATTAAACTGATCTCCCAACTTGTATTGAAACAAAGCACTGATTTGAAAGAAAATCCTGAATACTTTTATGTTTAATGCTTCAGGTTTATTTGTATATCAATACATCTTTATTCACCATCCAGTTTATGTCAAGGAATGTTTTGTCTTTTAAGAGCATTTTGAAACATTGACCACATGCCTCTGGTTATTCATTCTGAAAATCTCCTTTGTTGACGACGACTAGAGTAGAGAACTTCCACTGTATAATCTTAATAATTAGTGTAATGCATCTGCAATAATAACTGCATCCAGTAATTGTAACTCTCACCACCTCATCCTAGACAACAAAAGGCGGTCGTTCTTAAACCCCTCTCCTTACCACAAATTATGGGTTTGCTGTGCCGTCATGTTTCATGGGGCAACATTTTATAAGCCAAAAATTGTAAATTTAAATAAGAATCCGCTTGGAATATCCAAATTAATAGAGCTTCATTTTCCTTTTTTTTAATCAAAGCATTTTTTTTTACAACTGGCATTTTTGCCTGTTTTTGTTTAGAAGATGTGCGTTTTTTAAAAAAAAACGCTGTTAATGTGGATAGTGTTGTCTGCATCATACATATGGGCTATTTTTATGAATCAATGAGTAATAAAGGATTTAGGAAAATAGAAGAAATCACTTGCATGTACTTGAAAGGAGTTGTATTCTTGTAATGCATGTTTTGCAGTATTTAATAGTACAAGTTCAAGCTACGAGGTACGGAATAAGAGAACAGCCTCTAGAATCTTGGGAAGTTTCACATCCATACTTCTCCCTCTGCTTGTGTTGATTTCTCTCCTTGGCATATTGATTCCTTATTCTTTTGTATTTTGAAAAACACAGACTAAAATTTAACAGTGTGTTTGACATCGGTAGCAGGCTTCATTATTCTCTCGGGTTTTTTTAGTTTTCATCATTTTGCAGATACATAAAAATTGTTAACATTTCACTATTTGCGAACACGGCCCCCAATTGTCTTTGCGATTTGAAACCCTTTCTTTATACCATCGCCCGTTTAAATCGCTCAAATGTGAGCACATCCATCCAACCGGCAAAGACGGAGGTTGCAGCTGGAAAAGCATTGTGTAAATGAGGCACAGAATATTCAAAAGCATCTTCCTAATCGAAAAAAAATCTGCTTCTCTGTGGATAGCTCAGGACATGTGTATGTATATATAGATATATCACCAGTCTGCAGAGACAACTGTATTGCATTGTTCACAATTTGGCAGAGACAAGAGTCTCAAAATTGTGCACTATTTACCATTTGAAACAGGTGAGCAATCACGGACCTTTATGAGGAGTTAAATAACTCACAATTTATGGCCACGCTATGCCAATCACACATTGAAGACAACTGCAGCCCTCAAAATCCTTTGCAGCTGGTAACTGCAGATTCCCACTGGAGACATGGCTGGTGTCTCAATACCAATTGTGATACCAATCCTAGGTATGCAAGTGTGTGTCACAGCTGCCTGAGCCAGGATGGCAGGCAAAACCATCTGGTTCCACTTGGATTATTCATCTGTAACAGCAAATAACCGAGGAACTGGATGCTCTCGTCTCTGCATTAGAGAATTTATTTACTTTGAAGTATTGACTTAATGGTAACTTTTCAGATACATATTTTTATTCACGGAGTATGTTTTTCTTAAAAAAAGTGCACCGTCTAATTCCCCAAATGATTGTAATTCTGTTCTTTTCTTCTGTGTGCAAAGTACACTCTGTCTCTGCCAAAATATGAGACTGTGGAAAACAAACATCAGTTTCTGTCCGGGTGGCAGTAAGTGTAATTATGAGACAGGATGTTTTTTTTCTACCAAAGTTGATTTGCTCTGTGGGTGTGTACTTTACCATCTTTGTTAGGTTTCCCTCAATGCATTGGTATGAATAGGTCTTGTATCATAGTGCTGAATTGAATTGGGAGTTTTAGGAATCTGTTAGCTGGTAGATCCTTGTTGTGGAAGAAGAAAGGATGAGATTTCATTCCCCCAAATGCATGGGATCTGTGCTGTAAAGCAGATTTATGGTGTTTTAACTTCCAGTAGTGACTGTCAAGCCCTTTCCTTTCAACCACCTGGAGCCAGTGGATTCATAATTATTCTCGTTGGGTGTTAAATTCATCAGAAGAAAATTCTACAGGTAACGAATGGTGGTAGATCCTGGTGTAACCACTCCATCAGCTGTCAGTCTGATTTATTTTGTCCTTCGTAAACGGGATTGTGCTAAACACCGAAAGTTTCCGATTATAAAATAGGACAGGAATGTAATGAATTGAGAAGGAACAACTAAAACAATTTACACTTGTATAGCGACTTCAGAAAGACATCCCAGGGCGCTGTAGGAAGATTGAGAAGCCGTTTTTATATTTATTTTGGGGATGAGGGAGGATGTTGCCTCAATAGCCAATGAATTAACTAGGCACTAAAAGACAAGAGTATAGCTGTATCATTTATCTCATCTAGGAGGCTTAGACTTAGCTAATGCCATCAGTATTTGACTCCCAATGACCAGAACATGGATCTAATTCATTTATTAGCAAATTGTTCTTTGAGCATGTACATTAAGAGAAGAAGATTGGAATATAGAGTCCTGACACTGAGTATATATGTCACAGCTAAATCCATTCTGATCTAATGAAGAAAACTTCTGTTGAAACTGATCAGAATATGATAATCCCCCACTTTCTGCAGCAACACAAGATTGAGAAGACGTGAGAGAGCCTTCATTGATGCCAATTGATTAACTTGCTAATTGTGTTTCTCTGCCCTGGCAACATCTAAACTGTCAGTGGCCAAAAAGAGCTGGCATTCACTTTTCCAGACCCATCGTTGTTGTTAACCATTTTTAAAATGATATTTCTCTGCTCAGTTATTTCAATGATATTTGTTGTGCTTCTCGGCCTTTGACTTGAATATCTGAAGAACATCATGTCTTGACAACGTGGCATTTCATTCCTGAAGTATTCCTCTCTTTATACAGGCTCCTCAACAATAACCAGATTAAAAGGATTCCTCGGCGGGTGTTTGAGGATCTAGAAAACCTGAAATATCTGTGAGTTTGCAACTTTGATTGATAGCAGATTGTGACAGGGTTTCTCACAATGCCCACTGTTGGGTATTGAGTCTTTCACTGGTAAATCAATGACTGTTATTGGATTTACTTTAGGTCGGATTTCTCTTCAAAATATAAGTTTGCAAGCTGAGGGTACATGTAGCAATTATTCATATATACAGTTATAGGATGCATAAGTGAGAGGATGCACGAAACAATGGAAGATGGCATTGAATTTAGTGAGCAAGTTACTGTTAATGCATTCGTTTCACAAACTGTTCTTAATGATAATAATATTACTTCCTTTACAAATCAGTTCACTAATAAAGTGACAGTACGCTGTTAGAAAAAGGGATTACACAATGACTTGTTTTACTTACGAGTTTTATTTTTTTTAAAAGGTACCTTTACAAGAATGAAATTCAAACAATTCAGAAACAAGTTTTTAGGGGGTTGGTTTCTTTGGAACAACTGTAAGTTTGCAAACAATTATTATCTTTCATATATAAATATATAATAATATATAAATGTGTGTATATAGAGATATATAAATTTATCTGCAAATTATCATTTTGAATTAAAAGGTTTTAATTGAACTATCCTTAGCATTTTATAATTTTATAATGTATCCCAAACATAAATGGTTTTACTTAAGCCAGCAACTTGGATGGAATACAATTTATATCACTCTATAGTGTTGCAGCACTGATGTGATTGTAGTTAAAGTACTTAATGTCTGAAGTATATAGTAGATATCTGGAATCAATCCAATATACTATGTCCAAGTGTTGCAAAGACGTCTAATTAGTGCAAAACCCCTTAAAGGAACAAAAGTAAAGGTGTAAGTTTGAAATGTTAAACACATCGGTGATTTCCTAACGCACTCTTTTGAAAGCATCAGTTTCTATCTTCTTCTCTCCCTCTCAGGTATCTTCACTTCAATAATATAGAAATACTAGAGTCAGAAACATTTAGTGACCTTCCGAAACTTGAAAGATTGTAAGTACAGATTTTGCCACAGATTGCTCTATTCAATTACGTTATTGTTTTCTGCTAATTATTTGCAGCAGTAGGAAGACCTGCTTTATAACTTGAATATATCGGCTACTATTCTCTACAACTCTTTTGTTGAGCACTAATATCAAGTCCCAACTTCTAAACAGAAGACTACAACACAATTACAGGGAACCTAGAAGTCAAACTTTTTTTATATATCGCAAGAATAGACATTAAACTAATCAACTGATACAACACTTGATCGTAGCCCAAAGGCCGAAAAACTTGAATTGCTGAACATTGTGATGTTAATATTTGTATCATGTTAATACCATAGCAGCTTGTGTTGCTTATTCAGAAATGGTAGCGATTGCTGAAACTTGTACCAGTTATTGTGGGTCCACAGTATCCTGTAAGTGAGGTAGTGCTTTGTCAAAGGGCTTCCTCTGATTTTTTTCTTCAAATGAACGACAGCAGGTTTTTTTTTAACATATAAACATTTCTTTTCAACTTTTCAGATTCTTACATAACAATCGGCTATCAAGAATACATCCCGGGACTTTTTATCAGCTCGAATCACTGAAAAGACTGTAAGTGATATTAATTGATATTAAGTGATATTAATTGCATAGCAGTTTGTGTTGCTTGTTCAGAAATGAACCTAGCTTTAAAAAGCAAATTACTCTTTCCACATCTGAACTGCTTAGTAATATATACCAGGTGAGCTCATTATATGTTTTTTTGGGCTCATGAAATGATTAGACCCCGGTATTATAACGAGTCAATGAAAAAAATATAAGCCATTTGTCCCAATTCTGGTTGTTGGGTCACCAGCTGTCATGACTTCCGGTATCCAGCATGGACTGGACTGGTTCCCAGGAAACCAGCTGGTCCCTCCGTGACTGCTGCCAGGAGCATTGCTGGCACACTAGAAATGAAATTGGCTTGTGCAGGAAGTCGATCAGTCTGCACCGGAAACCAGAAGACACCTGCGCTTGATCTAACAATTGCTCTGTGGATCACAGTTAAGCACAAGAAGTTTATTCACTCTCTGATCCATGAATCTATCATCATTTGCCTTTTCAGTCGCTTGGATTCCAATACACTGATCTGCGATTGCGAGTTGATGTGGTTGGCAGAACTGCTGAAGAAATACGCTGAACATGGCAATGCCCAAACAGCTGCCACCTGTGAACATCCCAGAAGACTTCAGGGACGGTCGGTTACCACAGTAACAGCACAGGAGTTTAATTGTGGTAAAGTCGATTTATTTTCCCATTTGATTCATGCTGTACTTTTAGGGAGAGCTATTCCCCAGGCTGACAATTCCAGGGTCCTTTGACTCTTACAATGTGATTTCTCTGTCAAAGTGGACATTGTAAATGCACTAAATTTAAACCATGTTCAAAAGATCAGTGCCTTAGTGTTGATTCTACATGAAAGCAGCATTGAAATCATATTAACTCCGCAGTACAATTCGAGCATTACCTTTACTGCTACAATACAATATTACATTTGTATAGCGCCTTTCACGATGGGAGGATGCCCCAAGTCATTGGTTTAATACTGGCTCCACACTTTGATTTTATATGTGTAGTTGAGAGTTTTCTTTCAGATATCAAAGACCCTTGGTATCTTCTTTTGAGCATTTATCCCAACCCATTCCAGATTGGCCAACAAGTGGAATGGAGGTTGGACGGGGTCTGAGTCTCAGTTTTGAGTAGACGTTCAGCAGAAATCTCCTCCCAGTTACACTTGCGCAATGTTGGATGTTGTTTCTGCTTTAAAGTAAAAGTTGTCTAAGCCCGCTGCAAATCTCCTTCCTTTGTAGAAAGGCCTCGTATTACTTCTGAGCCGCAGGATGTCGATGTCACTCTGGGAAACACAGTTTATTTCACCTGCCGGGCAGAGGGCAACCCCAAACCCAACATCATCTGGCTGCACAACAAGTGAGTAGTTGGGAGCGACAATGAAAGGACTGAACCACAAAGTGTGCATTCAGTGGTGACCGGTTGTAAACCATCTATTGGCCTCTGTATAGACTAAAGGAAATGAGAACGTTGAGTAACTATAATCTATGGGCCGGAAAATGACTTGGTCTTTTCATGTACTTTTATCTGTCGATCTTTTATTTTGATTCCAATCTCCATGTAATTTCTAATGTACTTGGATGACATAATGGCCTGCAATCTGCCATTTGAATGGACTCCTGAGGTATAAATGCATCTATCTTGCCAACGGCTCACTTTTTCCTTATTGAGTTCAAGAAAAAACGCTGTTTCTAGCAGAGCTCACTGACCCAGTCTGCTTGTAAACAGAACGCCATCAGTGAGAGATTGGACATGCCTATAAACCCTTTTCGTTGCAAGTCGCCCATGGAAGTCAGAATTAAGATCGCCATTCAACCAGAATGTTACCAGGCTGTAAATAACTTGAGAATAGTTCTTCACAATACAGTGTCATAATATAGCAAACCAAATCCATCCAGGAAAACAAGTTATCTTATAAACAAACACAAGAGCAAAGTATTTAACCTACCAGTAAAATGGCAAAGGCTCAAACCAGCAAAGTCTCAAACCAGCAAGGCATATAACATTCATGCAGAACTGAAATCATATACCCGGTTTCAAGCTCCTGGATAGCAGTTACAATTCCGGGGAGGGAAACCTTCAGGTTTCTTCTCAGACTGCTGCCCAGATTGTTTTTTACGCCCACGTTTTTTACCTTTTTTTAAGCTTACTAACCTGTTTCTGGACAATCTCAAGGTCTTCCTGCAAAATCTTGCTTTGTTCTTTTAAACATTTATCTTGCAATTCCTGCTGTCTGAATTACTCCTCCATACCTCCTGTTTTCCTGACAGTCTCGTGATTCTACCTCTCAGCTAATTGATCATTGTATGTGGCTCCTTTCCTTATCTCGACTGCAGAATGGTTCTCAGACATTCAGTTCTTGTTAATGTATCTAATCTAAACACCCCCCAATCTCCTCTTAATTATAACAAACCATGGACTTTGGGGATGTTTATACTATACCAATGGTCAGACGAGCCTATGTGACGTGATTAATTCTTACTAGTTTAAACGGCCAAGATATATTACTAAAATATTTCTCAACTGGGTTGGGCTGTGATAATTCGCTAGTTATACATGCTTCGGCGACTGCCGCGGATAAGAACCCCCATTGTGTATCTTGCCTCTTTGTGTCTTTTGACCAATTCCATCTTTAATTTATTAATGCAATGGTCAAAAATAATACAACCAAATCCTGTTTGGATTGATCTTATAGGCAACAAGGTGCAGTGGAATCAAAGCTCATTATCTATTTGTGCTCCTCAGCAATGAAATAGACATGACGGATAACAACCGTGTGAATCTGCTGGAAGACGGGACACTCATGATTCAGGACATAAAGGAGTCCGACCAGGGTGCCTACCAGTGCATGGCCAAAAATGTGGCTGGAGAGGTCAAGACCAATGAAGTTATTCTCCGCTATTTTGGGACACCAGGTAGGAAAGAGCACACATTCTAACCTTTACATTACTTTGTTTTTTTTACCATCTCATCTGTGCTTCCAAAATCAGATTAGTGTTCTAATATTTGGAGCTATTGCCATGTGGAGGTGGGATGCATGGAATTCTCAGTTTGGTTTGGTGACTCTCAAGCATGGTGACAGGTTTCCACATGTGTCAGACACATTGATTTGCTGTGTAACTCATGGTTTGGCAGGAAAGGGTTTCCTTTCCTCAGACTTTAGCGGAGTGCGAGTGAGTGTTATTTCCTGGCCACCATCATTCGGGATGAAGTTGTGTTCATATGATTGATACTCGTGAAACAGCATCTTTAAGATAAATGAAATGTTTTGTTTCCAAGGTGAGGTCATTGAACTTGGGGCTGTGCATTTTTGTCAAGCTATCTTTTCTTTTCTGTGAAAGGAATACGGGAAGCAAATTGTAATTTCACAGTTAAAACATAGGTAATGAAGAAGTCCGTTTGTTACAGTGCACAAAATTTATCCAGGCTACTTTAAGATGTGCTACTTTTTTCTCTGTATTTTCCAGCAAAACCTATTTTTGTCATTCAGCCACAGAACACAGAGGTATTGGTAGGGGAGAGTGTTACACTTGAATGCGGTGTTTCAGGACATCCACAACCTCGGATAATCTGGACTAAGGGGAATGGAAACCTACTCCCTGATGACCCCAGGTACACCATCACTCCTTCAGGTGGCCTCTACATGCAGAATGTCACCTTTGAGGATCAGGGGCAATACAACTGTAATGCGAGCAACACTGAAGGCTCCATCCAGGCCGTAGCCCACATCATTGTACAAGGTACTCAATGAACTGTAGCTCATTTTCAGTTTATGGCGTTAATCATTTAAAAAAAGACATAGACTGGTTTTGGACACTTATCTATGTTCCAATCTAATGTTCTCTTCTTGTTCCTTAATCGTTGCCACACACCAAACTGATCCATGTCAAACTCAAATAAAGAAATCTGACAAGTCTTGTGGCCGACGAGGTGAAATAATATCTTTAACAAAAAACTATTTCAATAAATCTTGGCAAATACAGTAGAGCAGCAATGAACTTCAACTCTTAAGCCAATTGATTGCAAAATGATTGTGAAATGGGTTTAGCCAATGCTTGAACAATTATTGTGAAACAACTTCAATAAAAATCCTTGTAATCCTACCATTTGATATAATAATCCTTAATTTGATATAGCTCCTTTTCATGTTCAAAACATCTCAAGCTGCTGTGCTTTAGAGTTTTTTTTCTGCAACTATATAAGTGTAGTGACTGTATTCGTAGATGAACTTATCTGGAGTCTATCGTTTAAATAACAAGCCGGTGTGCTTCAATTCTCATGGATGGTGTGGTGGGTTTAAGACCTGTTCGTTTTCAATGTCATTCGCTCCAGTGCGTGATGAGTTTCGTAAACAGTAATGCTGGAAATCCACAGCAGGGACAATCAGCCTCTGAGGAACAACAAATAGCTTAAAATTTGCAGGTAGAGGCTTCCATCAGAAGTGTATGAATTGCAGTGACCTTTAATGCACCTTAACCAATCGAGTGACGTAAAGGGAATGATCCTAATGGAGTAGTGGCTTTCACATCAGTCTCGCTCCATTAATATCTAATGCCACCGAACAAATGCATGAGGAGGCCAGACTGAAATTCTCTGGTAAATCAGGCAACACACAACTGAGCGGCTATAAAATAAGGAAAATAATAGGTAAATGGGGGGAAAAAATTGAGTGCTTTCTTCTTTTGGGTAAAGTAATTGCTTACGTTAAGTAGGGTTCAGCCTGGAACGCAGGAAGGTTCGACAGATATTTAAGGCAGGCAAGTGGGTTATGTGTGCAGTTAATGGGAATATCACTGTATGTAGCCGGGAGACCCTCTTCTGAGCTTAGTGTTGCAAAGTAATACATGTAGGTGTTCTTACCGAGTCTGCACAGCATATGACCTTGAAATGATTATTGCTTTTAGTTACGGAAAAAATATCTGTGCCCAGCAGGCAACTAATAGACATTTGGGATGTTCCCTTGTTCTTTAGAAAGGCTGAGGATGTTTCCATAGAGATACTGTGTACACAACAAATCTGGGTACCTTGATATAGAACATCACCTGGAAGAGCCAGAAAGCAGACTGTTGAATAATGAAAATCAACTGCAGTTATTTTCTTATAGTCCCAGTTCTCCACAGGAGACCCTCCTTTAGGTGAATGATGGTATGTAAATATTAGGGGGATTATTCTGGAATACTGGCTTCCAAATTAAGGCTGAATTTAAGAATTGTTTTCATAATTTGTCACAATCATTAATTTTAAGACGAAACAGGCTGAGACTAGGTAGAACTGTAGGCCACGGGAGGAGGGGGAGAAAATGGGACCATAAAGGCACTTGGCAAATACAGGGTGACCCAAAAGCCGTGATATCTACTCTATTACCTAAAAAAAATCATAATTTCTTTAAGACGTTTTAGACATTGTAATGGTATCACGACTTTTTGTTCACCCTGTAGACTACTTAGTGTTTTTTTCCAAAAAAAATATTTCTATGAAGGTTAGATACATTAATTGTGAGCACAAACAAACATGAAGGAATCTTACCATTGGCCAGCCAGGCCCTTTTACTGCCTCCTTTCTGCTTGAATGAAGTGTAATTTTAGCCGATGTTTCAAAGCCATTTCTGTAATTTATGGTTTCCTCGCTGGAGATCAAAACAGGGGAATGGTTTCAGATCTCCCGATAGTTTTATGCAGCCGCAACCTTCAAATGTAACCACAGTTAATTGTGCTTCTCTTCCCCAGATGGTCCCAAGTTTTCTCTGGTTCCCAGTAATCAGATGGTGGTGGAAGGAAACGCTGTCGAGTTTTACTGTGGTGCAGAGGGAACCCCGGCACCAGTTATCGCTTGGACAAAAGCAGGTCTTTTACTGTGTACATTTTTGTTACCACTGAAATAGCACAACACCAGGAGTTAATCTGTTTCTACTTTACCAAGAGTAGCTCGAAAGCGCTTGTCGATTTAAAAACAAATGTGTTCGGCTTGAATCGATTAAGGGGATAATAAAAACTGTGCAACCCTTGCAATTCACAAGTAGTGTTTAGTTAGGCTTGATTGTTGTCAAAGTTGACCATTTTGTTAAACTTTTAGCCACGCAGTAAATGCAATCAGGGTCTGTTTGTGTGAGTGAGTGAGAGAGAGAGTCTTAAGTGCTTTGGCTAAAATTTCTCACCTTTAATGCTTTTATTGGTTTGATGAATGTGGAGCAATTGAGCTACTTCTGGTGCTTCACTTACTAGTCTATTGAAACCCAAGCAAGCAAATCAAGAATATAATATGGAGAAAAGTGTCGAGTGACCTGGCATTTGATATGAAAGGAACAGTTGAGAAAAGGGAATCAAATAAAGAAAGTGTAACTAAACAGATAAGGGTTTCAATTACCAGGAATATAGTTGAAAGAATCAAGTACTTTCGGAGTGCCAAGAGGAGAAATGTAACAGATGCTTAAACTTTGGCTCTTAATTTACAATTTCAATTGGGCTTTTGATTTGTTTCACAGCACAGTCTCTGATCATTTATGGGTGATTTGCTTTATTTACAAGTACTCGCTTTCAGCTAAATCCTTGTGTAAAGTTACAAAGGGAAACTTTTACATCATTGTGGACTCAAAACCAGCAAACGGGGATGATAAATAGAGAATTAAAGACTGGATTTGTCCACAACACAAAGTGAATGATTTTAAATGTAACCATCTTCTAAGTTAGTTCTCCTTCAAATTTGTATTTGTCTTTAAATGCCAAAGTTGATCACTGAATATACATAAATATAATAATAATCCTTGCATTTGATACAGCGCCTTATCACGTCTTCGAGACGTTTCAAGTGCATCACAGAATATACTGTAAAATGAATTGACTCTATGTTTTGTGGGGGATAGTTGTGTACCACCTGTTAAGATGCAACAGTTTTAATCGAATTATTTCATCTTCTTTCCCTCTCTCCTCGTTTCCATCTCCTATCAGGTGGTCAGCTCCCCAATGACCGAAGACATACTGTTTTATCGAGTGGTACCCTGCGAATAGTGAGGGTGGCTGCCCATGATCAGGGCCAGTATGAATGCCATGCCATTAGTGTGGTGGGGGCAAGACATGTGCCAGTGCAACTAACAGTTCAGCCTCTAGGTAGGATTTAATAATAATAATAATAACAACTTGGATTTATATAGCGCCCTCCATGCCGGACGGCATCTCAGAGCGCTTAATAATAATAATAATAATAATAATCCTTGCATTTAATAAAGTGATTTGCCACATCTTCGAGACGTCACAAGGTACATTCTAGAATACATTGTAAAGTGTAGAGACTGTATATTTTGTGGGCGAAACGCCTGACTTGTTGGCCTGGCCTTCGGTTACAATGAAGTGCGTTTTAATGGGATCCCACTGCCTTTTGCACTTGGGTCAATGCAAAGTTCAATAGTGAACACTGCCCCTCAGTAGATTATTTGCCCCAAAATACGAGTGTTTTTAACGAGCTGGAGAACTGAATTAATTTGAACTTTATACACCCTCTCCAAACAGTGACACCTATGTTCATTCACACACCTCATGACACAACAAGAGAAACGGGTCAGGATGTGGAAATCCAGTGCTCCGCACATGGAGAACCTCAGCCCATCATCACATGGACCAAGGTAAGGATTGCTCCACACCCCAGCACACCCAAGTCTGCTTTCTTGTGGCACAAGCTTCTCCGCCCTGCAATGTGGTGGGCATCATTACTCATTACTACAGCTCCCCATCTCAGTGACAAAAATGGAGACATAAAGAATAGCATATCTTTTAGGTGAGGGTATCAAGGGATATGGGGCAAGAGTGGGTAATTGGAGTTGAAGTACAGATCAGGCATGATCTTATAGAATGGCAGAATGTTTCTATATTTCTATGTTAATAGCAGTACAATGCTTTCTTCACAGGAAGGTATTTTACCTGTGGATTCTCTTATCTACTTTCTTGTAATCGATCAGAACAGTAGAGTATTGATAAGAACCTAGGAGCAAGTCACCGACATAGCCTCCAACTCTCTCTCTCTCTCTTTCTCTGTCACTTTGAAACAAGGGAAGAAAGGTCAATGTGAGAAAAGAATTGCTTGGGACAAAGTTCAGTCCTTCTGAACCCTGTACTGTTCTGACAGCGTCTTATGTAAGAGCTGAAAGATACAGAAATAGTAATAATCCTTACATTTGACATAGCGCCTTATCACGACTTTGAGACGTCTCAAAGCGCTTCACAGAATATATTGTAAAGTGAATTGACTGTGTATTTTGTGGGCAAAAACAGTCTCAGGTTCTCAGGAAAACGTGGCTCATGGGGAGCGATGTTAAAATGCTGACAGAAGGAAGTGTTGGGTTGAATTAATGTGGGTGAAGCACCAACCGAGAACGGTACTAACCAAAGCCAAAAGTGAAGAAAGTCATTCAAAAAGTCCTGATGGAGTGAGTGATTGTTCTTAGAGAAAGGGAGGAACAGAAACACAATGGTAATTAAGTGGGTTGAATATAACTTGATGGAAGTCATTGACGCAACTTATTCTTTGTAACTTTATTCCTTGTAAACAGGATCGGGTGCAGATCACTGACAGTGGAAAATTCTTCGTCAATCCAGAGGGAACTCTGACCATTCGAGATGTTGGAGAGGCTGATCAAGGCCGATATGAATGCATTGCCCGTAACGCATTTGGTTTTGTCTCCAGTAACATGCTATTGACCATCACTGGTAGGTGCTCCATAAACTGTCAAATGTTCACAGCAGTTAGCATCTTGTGCTAATAATTTAATAATAATCCTTACATTTGACATAGCGTCTTATCACATCTTCGAGACGTCGCCAAGCGCTTCACAGAATATACTGTAAATTGAAGTGATGGTGTGTTTTGTGGGCGAAATGCAATTCTGTTAGAATATAGGTGGTGAACAGATATAAGCATCCTCTGTGAACATCTTTGCATGGGGTTTAATCTTGGAGTAATAAACCCTACGTAGGTCAAATCAACCTTTCTATTCTTGTCAAATGATCTGCAATGTATAACTGAAACTCTCTATTCATAAACACATCCATATGGTTTAGGATTATGTCCTGCTACATTCTTTGGCCTTAAACCCAGAATATAGGTCCAGAAGGCTGGCAGGATCTGAGATTCGATCAGCAGCAGCGATCCAATGCAAATGTTTTAAAAACTTGCAAAAAGCCAATGCAATTGTTCAGGGGGGGGAAAAAAAACTGGAGTTGAAAGTGATCGCACAAGGTAGTCTTGCAATAATATGAACATTTTTGACCGTTTATTACAAGGGAGAAATGACATGCGTTAGAGATTGTCTTAAAATGTGGAAATCTATGAAGTGTTCTGAATAGGGGCTCTCCTTGTGCTGACAACCGAAATCACTTTGTATGTCTCGGGGTTTAACTGGTGGGAGTGGAATTTTGCATCAGTGACACAAATGCAAGACATATGTATTGAGCCATTTTGCCCATTATGCAAGTGGTTCCCTTGAGCAATTGGACTCCTAATTACTGCACAAACTTTTGTGGATGTGTAGGCCCCAGAACTGAAAGCCAGCGGAAGCTGATAAAAGGCATGTGTGTGTATTTACATTTAATTACATTACATTATGTACTATATTCACAATGCTGGCAATGGTTCCCCTTTAATGTCTTTCATAAAAGATGAAACTTTAGTAGGTTTTGAAGGAAATTTAATGGAGTAAAACTGCATGGGTGTGTAGGTCTGGTTCTCATCAGTTACACAGAGATGGCAGCTCTATCATCCTGGCCACAAGGCAAAACAAAAAGGAGTTTTCTTTGCAATACCAGCAGGAAATCCTTTGCCAACAGATCCCAGGCCTGCAGTCACCTTCCAATCCCTTGGTCATCATCATCAACAACCAATGGAGCAATGATGTCTCGCAGGTTCCCATTCTCTCCTGCCCAGCCCACAAATTACTGGTCCTGCAGCCAATGACCTGAAACTAAAGTCAACTGACACTGAGGTCCAGCTCTCACTCTGCTAATCTAACAAGCGCATGTCTGACCTCACGGCGATCGAATAGGCACCTCTGGAATAATTGTTCGTGTCCGTAGGTAATAAAAGGCACAGCCTCAGGAGTACCAACACCATTGATATCATCTTCATTTGAGCAGCGCTTTCCTTACTTTCCATCTCTCAGACTAAAACAACCTTAACCTGGGATCTGATGTTGTGTTTTTTAGCCCTAGAAGGTGACAGAACTGGTGACAGTTTTGTTGAGGAGTCTCTCCAGGAAGCCATTCACAGCATCGACAGCGCAATTAATTCAACACGAAGAGATTTGTTTGACAAGTAAGGGAGTGATACCTGTAAATGTCTTTCCAGTATAGCCAGATAATTAGCATATCCTGCGTCCATGTGTCTGTGTGTGTGTTTTTTTGTGGGGGGAGAAATTGGGAATCTGATTAAATATGTCAACCCAAAGTAATCCAGTGAATGAAAATAATATTAAGATTTGTCAACCCATTCAGGTTTATCAACTCAAAATTACCAATTGGCAATTCTTAAACATCTACCTCCACAAACATCTATATAATACAAGAATTTCTGAAAAGTAGTTATCCTTTCTCATTTGAATCTGTGTTGATAAAATACAACTAGAATGCTATGGATCCATATGTAATTTTGACTGCAATACTATAGTTCAGTTGTGTTTTTTTGCCCAAACGACGTGCAATGACTTCAGGTGTTTTTTTTGTTGTTGCTCTATTTCTTTAATGTTTATGCCATGTGGTGAGCACATTAAAGTAACTGAGCTCGGACTTTATTTACTCAGCTGTAAACCATTTTCATACGATTTTCACTTAACACAGTCAAACCTTCATGTGTCCGAGAGAGAACTCGCAAATGATTTGCTTGATGAAACCCATGGGAGCCTCCTAGTTTTATCACTAAGAAACCAAGCCACATCGAGAGCACTTTAAATCCCAGACAGACTCACTAATCCTTGTGAGGACATAAAATTGTTTCAACCATTGTGATTTTTTCATTGCCTTGAATAGTGCGAGTGAATAATGTTTTACAAGTTTATTTATTTCAATCAAATTTGGGCAGGGAGTTTTAATGATCTGGAATCCCTGACTGTCTTTTATTCCAGGAAGAGTAAATTTCAAATGTTGAGAAAATTAAGGAAACCAAAGAAGGTTTTCCAATTTAGCTAACAATTACTGGTCTCACTTAACCAGAAGACAGTCTGTACTTCAGACTGCACATTTTGCTACGGATCGCTGTGATTTCAGCAGGAATTTACTGACTGTCCACAGTACCACCCAAGAACTTTATACCGATTGTTTAAGAGGCAATTACGTGACTGGCTCTTTAATAACATTAGAAAAATGCACACCTGGTTAGGAATTGACTCATAGTTTTGTCATTTGCATTTCACCTTCTGTTTAACAGGCGACCCCGTACCCCAAACGACCTCTTAGCCCTCTTCCGTTACCCCCGTGACCCTTACACTGTGGAGGCAGCAAGAGCTGGTGAGATCTTCGAGAGGACACTACTGCTTATCCAGGAACATGTCCAGCAAGGCCTAACCGTGAACCTTAATAACACAAGTAGGTGGCAATCACACTCTTCTTTAAATGTCATTATGGTAATAACCTTTGGGCAATAATTCACTACTTTATCATCACTTGAAACTAGTCCTGCAAAGGCGTTAACTAACTGCCTGCACGAACTTGCTTTTGTGACCTTTACTATGCTTATGATATAGACACCGAAGTAACACACTAAGGCTGATGAGATGATTGTCGAGTTACTGCTTCTCAGTGGATAGGTTTAGTGAATAGACTGTGGTCTAGAAAATAACAACATCAACAAAATTGCATTTGTATAGCGCCTTTCACGTCGGGAGGATGTCCCAAGGCGCTGAATAACATAATCATAATCCTTGCATTTGGTACAGCGCCTTATCACGTCGTTGAGACATATCAAAGCGCTTCACAGCATATACTGTAAAGTGTAGTGACTGTGTATTCTGTGGGCGAAACTCGGCAGCCAATTGCGCATAGCAGCGTCCCACAAACAGTTGTGGATTGAGTGACCAAATTATTATTATTTTGAAGGGATTATTACTCCCGAAAAGCAATCCACCAATTGACTAACAAGCAGGTTCCTACTTAACAAAGGGGTTCCTATTTAACAGATTAGGAAACAGCAGCAGCAGCAGTCGATTTCTATAATAATAATAATAATAATCCTTGCATTTTGATATAGCGCTTTTCACGTCTTCTAGACCTCCCAAAGCGCTTCACAGAATATACTGTAAAGTGAAGTGACTGTATATTTGTGGGCGAACGCGGCAGCCAATTGCGCACAGCAATGTCCCACAAACAGTCGTAAATTGAAAATGACCAATTTATTATTGTTTTTGGTTTTGGAGGGATTATTATTAGGCTCTGTGTGGAGTAAGGAAACTTGCCCAAGGTTTCGCCCTCTGCTTGGAATTGAACTCAGGTCTCTCGCTTGCAAAGCGAGTGCTCTAACCATTGAGCTACAGGACTCCACGATGTTATTGTTCCATTATGAAACTCCCGTGTAGGGTAACTCGCCTGCTTATTTGTCTGTGACGTTGTTTCTGTTCTCAGGTTATCGTTATAATGATCTTGTCTCTCCGCGGTACCTTAACATGATCGCGAACATTTCTGGCTGCACTGCTCACAGGCGTTCCCCCGACTGCCTAGACATTTGCTTTCACCAGAAGTACAGGACGCACGATAGCACCTGTAACAACCTGCAGCACCCGATGTGGGGAGCGTCGCTTACTGCTTTCGAACGACTTCTGAAGCCAGTGTACGAAAATGGATTCAATCTTCCCAGAGGCTCCAACCTAAACCAAGAGTACAGCAGCCACCCTCTTCCTCTACCTCGCCTGGTCTCTACGGCAATGATCGGGACTGAGACCATCACACCCGACGACCAATACACACATCTGTTGATGCAGTGGGGACAATTTCTAGATCATGATTTGGATCTGACCGTGGCTGCGCTTAGTATGTCTCGCTTTTCCGATGGAGAGCCCTGTAACAGGTTCTGTACCAACGACCCTCCGTGCTTTCCGATTCTCATCCCAGATACCGATCCCCGGGTCCAGAACGGCCGGTGTATGTTCTTTGTGCGCTCCAGCCCAGTGTGTGGCAGTGGTATGACCTCCCTCTTAATGAACTCTGTGTATCCCAGGGAACAGATTAATCACTTGACATCCTACATCGATGCTTCCAACGTGTACGGGAGTACAGAACATGAATCCCAGGAATTAAGGGACCTAACCAATCAACGTGGGCTGTTAAAGGCGGGCCAGATTGTGCCTAAGTCTGGCAAACATCTGTTGCCCTTTGCTACAGGGCCCCCAACGGAATGTATGAGGGATACAAACCAAAGCTCTATTCCCTGCTTCCACGCGGGTGACCATAGGGCCAATGAGCACATTGCTCTGACCGCAGTACACACTCTGTGGTTCCGTGAACACAACCATGTGGCCACAGAGCTTCTGAAACTCAATCCACATTGGGATGGAGATACCATCTATCACGAAGCCCGCAAAATCGTTGGCGCACAGATGCAACACATAACGTACAACGATTGGCTGTCGAAAATCCTGGGGGGCGTGGGTATGAAAGTACTCGGCGACTATAAAGGCTACAATCCCAACCTCAACGCCGGGATCGTCAACGCTTTTGCCACCGCAGCCTTTCGCTTTGGTCACACGCTGATCAATCCCGTTCTTTACCGACTGAACGAATCGTTCCGGGCGATATCGGAGGGCCACATTCCGTTGCACAAGGCCTTCTTCTCCCCATTCCGGATCATCCAAGAGGGCGGGATCGATCCTCTTCTCCGAGGTTTGTTCGCCGTGCCGGGGAAGATGAGGGTCCCGAGTGAACTCCTGAACCTGGAGCTGACGGAGAAGTTGTTTTCCATGGTGCACGCTGTCTCCCTGGACCTGGCGGCAATGAATATCCAGAGGGGACGTGATCACGGAATTCCTCCGTACAACGACTACAGAGTCTTCTGCAATCTCACGTTCGCTCAGGATTTTGAAGATTTGAAGAATGAGATCAAGGACCCAGAGATTCGAGAGAAGCTAAAGAGGTAAACGCCCCACAAAATATCAGCTCAATTTGCTCCCGAACACTGTAAGAGAAAGATCATTGTTTACTGAAGTGATGAATGGTACAGCATCCAATTAGCCACTTTTCCCTCTTTGGCATAAATCGTGGGTTTCAAACTCCAGCTCACTGTCTTGAGTTGATTATCTAAACTAACATGCCCGTGCAGGATTGGGAGAGTGCTGAACGGCTACATTGCCGGATGAAACATTAAACCGAGGTCCCATCTGCTTATTTTTCAGATGGACTTTTTAAGGATTCCCCCCCCCATGACACTTAGTTTATGAAATATATTTAAGCTGTGCATGTGGAATAGACCAAATACTGTGTATGACAAGAATCTGTGTACCAAAGTAAGCAACTGGGACTTGTTAAACATTATTGATAATTTTGTCTAGACCAGATTGATGTACAACTGGAACTGACCAGATAAAGAAGTTTAACTCTATTACTGTTCCAGTAACTGGCATTATTGCTGTTGTAGGTTATATGGCACTCCGCGGAATATAGACCTATGGCCTGCATTGATGGTAGAAGATATAATACCTGGCACAAGAGTGGGTCCTACACTCCTATGTCTACTTGCCACTCAGTTCCGTAGACTAAGGGATGGAGACAGGTAAATACTGTGCTCAGAACAGTGTGCATTATAGCTTGTTAATGGAAAACAATGTGTACATATAATATATATGTGAATATAGTACATCATTTATACAATGATCACCTGCCCACTGTGGCAGAGAAAATGAGAAGCAAAGATACAACTGGAAAGAATACAGGAACACGATGAACAAAGTGAAATCTTGCACGAGGACAACGCTCACTGGTATGGCGGGCTATTCATTACCTATGGAAAATGCCAATGTAATGGAAAATCTTTGTGCTTGTGCAGGTTCTGGTATGAAAACGCCGGAGTTTTCACCCCGGCCCAGGTAACCCAAATCAAGCAAGCTTCACTAGCACGTGTTCTCTGCGACAATGGAGACAATATCCAGCAGGTTCAGCCGGATGTCTTCAGGGTGGCAAATTATCCCCAAGGCTTTGTAAACTGCAAGGAAATTGCACGGCTAGACCTGCGGATGTGGCAGGATTGCTGCGAAGGTACAACCTTATATCATAAAGCAATTATTTATCCAGCGGTTGATTATTTTTAACATTTAATGTGTTCGTAAGTGTGTGCGGTGACAACTTGGAGTAAGGTTGGCATCATGAATCGGAAATACAAGCTTGGAACTCAGTTGTTGTCAAGGTTGTTTGAAGGAGTTTGAAATGAAATGTGATCCCAGCGCATGTCAGTGTAGCCGGGATTGCTGGGAGAAAATTTAGGATCTTGGCTGGACCATTGGTGGGTGGGGATTGAGCAGACAGTGAATGACACAAGATGTCACACATCCACTATAGGAGTCAGCTACAGAGCAGCAGCTGTCAGTCTCAATCACCCATCGATGGGATTCATGGCAATAAATCGGTAGAGTGGGAGCGCGTACAATTGTGGGGAAACTCACTTTTTAACCGAAACGCAAGAATAAATGTTTTATGTCGTTTAACATCCTTCTTAAATAGGCACTGCAATGCCAAGGAGGCACAATTAGAGCCCTTGCTGTTTGCTCCAACAATCTATTTCAGGAAATACCATATGTACAGTAATATTTTGCATTTCCAAACACAGGACACTGTAGGTCCACCAAGCCTTTTCACGTATAGACATACTGTAGTCAAATGTTTGAATGGTACTGATGTCTGCTTTGTAAATAAGCTTGCTTTTTACACAAGGCCCCAGCACAGAGAGTCCGATGGCACTCAGAAACATTTATGGTTTCAGTAGGAAAGTGTTGGGAATAATACTTAATTGTACTACAGAATAAATAGTGTGTAAGTGTGTTTTAAATTTAAAATGCTGTGGCAAGACTCTACCCTAACAATGTCCTGTTTCAAATATGCTTGAGATTTTAGAAATAGCTTTGTGTTCGGTTGGTGGACAAAAGCCAGTTGGACATCACATCAGTCGGATCTCTGCAATTGATTTGTTTTTGCATCGTTAGCTCCACCTAATGGCAAGAATAAAAAAAAATACACGAGTATCGATCAACTTACAGAGCCATCACGTTGACAAATGTGTTTTTTCTCCTGCATTTGCCAAACACGGTATTGCGATATGATGACACGGCTTAAACTGAAACAGAGTATTGCAACTTGAATGTCTTTGCAATGCTTTAAGAAGCTTTAAGAAGCTTGCTACTTTTGTTGTCGTCCACTGTTTTGTCAGACTCCGTCAAGGTGAAGCGCTCCGGGACGCTACCCCACGTGAAGGGCACTACATAAACACAAATTGTTGTTGTTGTTGCACTGCGCTGTAAATGTGACACTTGAGTCACTGAGTCATAGTAGTTGCCTAGTGAACGCCAGGCATTTTTCCACTGTCCCAGAGAGATCAATGGAATGAAGGTTAACCCTGATTTGCACTGGTGCGAGCGACATCTAGCACATGCTTCCAGAGTGGAATTACACAAAGACTGGCCTCTTGCCTCCGACACTCTGACTGAGTGATGTGGGTTGTGACCAGTAGAAAACGTGGGATTAAAAGAATTCTTTAAAAATAGGAAATCTCAGGAATTCTGCAGAACAGGGAAAGCCAAGTGGTGAGTCATAGTAACATTTTCGTAAATTGTAGGTTCACTTCACCCGCCCGGTCCTATCACGAGAATCTTGGAATGTCAGCCCCGTCTCCATGGGGTCATTTTTTTTTTGCTCATTTTAGTAGAGTCTGTTTTTGTTGGTTGTGAATCAAAGCATAAGTAGAGGCAGAAAGAAATACAATATTGTTTGTTTAAAGAACTGACACTACAGTGCTAAGGCTAACCAGTGAATGTGTTTGCTTATCCAGACTGCACTACTCGTGGACGGTTCAACACTCTGTCACAGAATTTCCGCAGCAAACGTTCGGAAGAGTTCAGTTTTCCCGAAGCAAATCCTACACAACACAAATCGGCGACGAGACCAAGTGAGAGGTAACTGAAATGGCTGTTTGGTGGAGCAGCCCCTTTTGGGCTCCAGGAAAGCTTGCAAAACAATTGCTCAATAAGAACAGTCCTGAACAAAGGTATAACCAAAGGCTTTTCCTGACCCCAGTATTCTGTGCAGATGCTTGAATGGAAATTAACAGTCAAATTGCACAGAATCATTGACACTCGCAACAAAGAGTTATACCTTTGTTTTTGATTTTAATTTGCCAGTTTTTTTTTCCTGTTTGCTCTTTACTTATACTTCAATTTTCTTATCAAACAATATGTTGTTCTGTTCTTTGCTAATTTATTTATGTGTAGGTAATTTATTTTGTTTTCTTTGCCTACAAAAATACACAGTCACCGCAGTTTACAGTGAATCCGCTGAGGCTCTTTGAGATATCTTCCCAACATGAAAGGCACTATATCAAATGCAAGGGTTATTTATGTATTTCAATTTTAATTGATTGTTAAGCATGATACATGGTCTCCAAGGCACATTTGAATGAACTGCAGGAAATTGTGTAATATTTTAGCATGTATATAATCCAGGTTACATTTCACCAAATGCACAACAGTAATTAAAACTGTTTACCCCATTTTTCTCATTAATCTCTTTACAACAGTTTTAAACCCCAAAGATTACATTTCACTTCTCTGAGAGACGCAAAGGAAATACATCATACAGTCAACAAGATAAATATGGATTCAATATATGCGGTTTACAAACCATGGGAGTGTTGTTAGATAATGATAAACCTATGGTACTATTTTGTTTATTACAGTATTTAATAAATGTCAGCTTATCACACACATCTTTCCTTTCTATATATCAATGCAATGCCCTGATGGTGTGGTTGTGTTTCAGAAAATCTGTTCTCGTTTTCTGAAAAAATGTTTCTGCTCATTTCCTGTAGAGGACTGGGAGTTCAGGAAACAGTTTCCAACACCTCTTCTACCCCATTGTATAATTGCGGAGCTGAACTGGAAATGCTAAGAAAAAAGGTAGGAATTAAACCTTGCACTGTGTATCGTTCAGCAGTTGTATGGAAAACTGTAGGAAGCAGTTGTGGATCTCACAGCTTCAAGGTTGTAATATAACTGCGCATTATTTGAGCAGTACATGCCAGAGAATGCCCAATATCCATCAATATCTTAAAAATGTCCTTTGGATGAGACATTAAACCGAGGTCCCGTCTAACTGTTCAGGTGGACGTCAGAGATCCCATGTGACATTTATAAAATCAAATGCAAGGATTATTATCAAATGTATGTTTTCATATCAGGATCAGAGATCCCAAAGAATGTGTCTGAAGTTGTGTGCAGACAGAGTAAGCTTCAATACAGAGTTCTCCTATTAGGCCTAATGGGAGCATGTTCACAGTATTTTCTGTTGTGCAACTTTCCTTTAACTGCGGCTCTTTTATGCCGATTTGTAACTGAAGAATCGTCTCATTCACACAGCCAGCCTTGCCCAACGCTTCAATAAAAACGACTTCAATGAAAAGTCTGTCAGGCTCTGAGTGTGTGAAGAGGTTGGGGGATTCACGTCGATCAAGAAACACTTTGAGCTCAACCAAGCGGGGAATTTACCTGAGGTTTTCTGAAAATGTAAGGAAAGCAATCTCGGAGGCAATTAGATTCTTGTCCAAATCACTAACCCTAAACAATTTGTTTTCCAGATAGAGAAACTTGAAGCTCACTTGAAATTAACGGGCTGCTTTGACAAGGACGGGAATGTAAGAAGTGAAGGTGAACGTTGGCAGAACAATCCCTGTACAGCCTGCCACTGTAAGGTATAAAGTCAATGGCTGCATGCTCAGAGAGTTCTTAAGTTATTAATCGATGAGTTCCAGTGCCTCTCACAGAGTAAATGTAGCTTAGCCCACTCGCCTCGCAAGCGAGAGGACCTGGGTTTGTTCCCTGGACAGGCAAAACCTTAGGCAGGTTTCCTTGCTCCACATGCCTCTGTTTACCTAGCAGTAAGTAGATTGTTAGTCGATTGGCGGATCACTTATCGGGGGTAATAATACTTCTAAAAAAAATAATAATTTGGTCACTCAATCTATGACTGTTTGTGAGACACTACTGTGCGAAAAACGGCCACCGCGTTTTGCCCACAAAATCTACAGTCAATTGACTTTACAGTATATTCTGCAAAGTGCTTTCAGACGTCTCAAAGACGTGATAAGGTGCTATATCAAATGCTATATAGTATATACACATACACACACACATGCACACACATCTTGTGCTTCACGTACCGAGATGATAAAGAAGAAGAATTACTTTCATTCTTTTTCAAAACAATTAATATAATTTAGTGGTTTTTGTGTTGGTAGATAAGTGTATGTCTTGTACTACTGACTTGGAAATTTACAATTTAAAGGTATTAGAGTAAATCAGTCTTTTCGCTAAGACTTGGTAATGGGAAATTACATTATAAATGTGTAGCAAAAGTATTTCTGGGAATCAGCCATTATGGCATTTTCAGAGCCTTTGATGAACTTCAGTACTCAAAGTCCGAAATCAATTTTATATTTTACATTTTTATATTTAAAACCTATTAATCTATCAGACTCGCCCTTCGTTAAAGATGCTTTGGTCTTATTGATTTGCCTTTTAATCCCTGTAGGAGTCACGGACCATATGTGTGCAGACAACCTGTCCTCGGAACTGCAGAAACCCAATGAAGCAGCAAGGAAAATGTTGTCCTGTTTGTGAGGTGTGACGCCAAGACAGGCCAGTAAAATGCTCATAATTCAGATCAATAGATCAGTTCTCTCTATTGTTATCCAGGCACTGAATACATCTGTGATTGTTTTTAAACCAGTCTGTAATTCTGTAACACTCCCATCTCTTCCTGATATCTTGAAGCAGAATCAACAGGGGCACATTGACTGCTGAGATGAAGTTCTCCCAACGCAACCATTTCTGATGTGCGCAAACCGTTAGTTACAATGTGCACTGGTTTACTGAAATATCTTTGATGACTATCTTACAGTGATGATGGTATAGATAAGGGAGAAAGAAATGTATCAACTATGAACTTATTGACTTTGTATGCAAAGATGTTCCGTAGTTACCTCAATACCAGTGGTTTCTCATCCTTATGGTGCTAAATATTTAGTGTTTATTTTTTACAAGTACACGAAAAGGCATTACATTTTAAATTTTATACATTGCAACAAAAGAAGTGTTTGTTTTTGATGTGTTGGAGCTGTTACTTTTTATACACTGTTATATTCTGTTTAGCCCTGAATGAAGTTTCACTGAATTATACCGTTACAAGATACTACTTGTCACACCGGGGTCCAAGTAAGTATTGATTCCACTTTCTCCCATGATATTTTCAGAGGATATCGGTCTCTATTTGAATCTGCCTACTCCATTAAAAAAAAGTTATTGAATGATCTACTTTGATACATCTTATGCATCATATTGAATACCTTTGGTGATACAAGATGACGAGTATCAATCGTCAAATCACATGATCTGCTGTATAAATACTAATGCAAAACTATTTTACCTGAGTTGTATATATGGTTCATACCTGTTTTCACTGCTCATCAAGTGTAATGTCACTTGCGTGTGTGAAGTGAGGCCTGCTATTTGATGCTGTATGTACTCTACCAGTCTCAACAAACTTCAATAAATACACATGTATTTTTGCTTATTTCTGCCCAGCAATTCTTTCTTGCCCTGTTATTCAATGGGAAAATATCTGAACTGTCATCTTGATTTTATACAACATTCAGTCTCTTTCCTGCGCGCTTTGGTTTTCACATTTGAATTGTATTTTTAGTCTTTTGGACGAATTGTATCAGCAAATTCACGGGGAAATTCAAGAGCTATTTGGGACTGGCTGGATGGTATCTTCCAGATCTCTACATGTCTAAATTATTGATGTGAAAGCAGGATTACAGTGACCTTTGACAACCTCTACAATTTAACTATGTTAATTGCAAACCTCCAAAAGTGCCTCCGAGTCCACTTAACAAGATGACAGTGTTGCCTTAAATTTATTGCTGGGAAAAGGTTTGTGGTGTGTGGGTTCTGACAAAGTTTTGTGCTTTGTGATATTATTCAAATTTAGTCCCAGTTTGTATTATTGGGACAAGCCTGGACTGGCTGAGCACCTTGCACAAGTGCAGGAGTTAATCCAAACTGCAATAGGGCACAGGCTTAAACAGGTTTGTAACCATAATAAGGATATGCAAAGTAGAATCAAGAGAAGCGACTGAGATTTTCTCCCTTCTCTGCTAAAAGTGCAGACTCAGTGCCTTCCGTACAATTGCCAGTATTCTCATCCGAGCTTAGACAATGAGTATCAGCTATAGAGGGCATCATACCTGATCCCAGTATTGTGCTGACCCCAAATTGCCACGTGCACACTGTCCAGGAGAAATAGGGACGGGAAGGCCATTTGGAGCAGAAATCTTGGCTTTTGTTTCTTTCCTAGCCCTCGGGCTGCTAATGCTAATTGTAAGCACAGTAACTGCTGCTCTGGCTGACGTCAGCTGCTCAACACAGCCTGAGAATTCAATTGTGCTTTCCTTTGCTACGTAAGTTTCATGACTACTTCAGCAGCACCACTGTTCACAAGATTTTCGGCCAGCGCAACTGAAAATGTTCTCATAGTCCTGCACAAACTTCTCGTAGGTGTTAAGATGAATGTAGCTTGTGCCTTTTATGATGTCGCTCAGAGGTTGTTTAACACCTTGCTTCCTGGCATTTAACCACTTTGATTCCCAATAAATACACAGACACTGCACTTCACTGCAGTATCCTATGAATTGCCTTGAGACGTCCTCCTGACATGAAAGACGCAATATCAAATGCAAGGATCGTTATTATTGTAGTTATTATTATGAATGCCAGCTGAGGAAGGCAGGAACAAACAAACAGTCATGGAAATGAGTGATGTTGTGATTCTAAATAGGATGAAGTGACTGAAAAACATTCAACAACAACAAGATTTCATTTATGGAGCACCTTTCACGTCGGGAGGACGTCCCAAGGCGCTGGACAGTTGGGTCGAGACCCGAGCATTGGGGGAAATGGTCAGGGTGAGGGGAGGGAAAGGAGGGAGCGAGGAGGGGGTAGAGAATCGAGAGGGTCTCTACCTGCCTCAGAGGGTCAACCAAGAGACTATGAGCATAAATGTGGGGCTTGAGCCCCCAACCTTTGGACACGGAGTCAGAGAGTGCTACCAACTTAAGTTGATCTGACTCCAAAGAGGTTGAGGGAAATAAACTCAGAACAATACTTTCAGGTGCACTGAGGGCAGAGGTTCAGGGTTGCAAAGGACAATTTCAGGGCAATATCTAAAGGACAATTGACAACTTGACTAGGTTACTGGGAAGGCCGGTTGAGGCCAGAAAGCTGAACAGCTGGATGCTGTGGTGGGAGGACAGCAGGATGGAGATTCTGAAAGGATCAGATCAACTGGGCCAAAGGGCCCTTTTCAACCATATCTCTTGTGAAATGTCCAGGAGCACAATTTGCAAGGAACTGGTAACAGCAAAAAAATGTAGGTTATTTTAATGATGTGATGGGACAGATATTGTAGAAACAAAACTACATTCCACTTCGAGAAGGAGTGGAGGAATTACTCTGTGTCTGGCCAACACATTCAATGTCTCAAAAGATTCCTGCCTTCCTAACGAAGGCAACAGTGGGAGATTACAGAAAGAAAAGATGTGTCTGAGAACCAGAGGAGGTATGAATGTTTATAGAAGAGAGGGAGGGAGGCGAGGCTGAGAGAAGATGGGAGCTGTGTCAGTCAGTTACTGACTTAGTTCTGACTTACTTACTTACTTACTTACTCACTCACTCACTCACTCACTCACTCACTCACTTACTTACTTACTTAGCACTCAGCACAAGTGGGAATATGAGATGGCGGTCAGTGAAGGAATGTTTAGTGAGGTTGGTCCTACAAGACCAGTTTGTCATGTGTTGGTGGTGGGAGATGTGTGTGGTGGGGGAGGGGCTTTCAAAGTTGTTTGGGCTGGAGATTAATTGGAATTTCTTTCCCCCCCACCCCCCCACTCCCAGAATATAGTCAATAAATAAAAATAAGATGAAAACGTTGCCCCTGTGGTGGTGTAAGTAGACAGGTGCCCTCTTGAGTCGAGTGCGGATTTGCAGAGCAGTTTCAAGTGTGAGAGGACAATGAGGAAGAGCGCCTTCCGCATAGCTCCAGGTCCAGGGGGTGGGGGGGGGCAGCAAAACTGGTTCCTCAGGTACTGTCCCCGACACCTCTCAGTGCCTCTCTCTCTCTCTCTCTTTCTCTTCGAAAAGGAAGTGCTCGAAATTTACGTGTGTGTGTGTGTGTGTAAAAATAGGGGAGGGGGGGGGTATCTGGGAGCTCAGGGAGGGGGTGAGGGGGGGTCCTGCTCGAGGGCAAAGCGGAGGGGACAGGTGAGGAGAGGTTGGGTGGGGAGGGGGTGGTGGTGGGGTGAGGGGGGGTCCTGCTCGAGGGCAAAGCGGAGGGGAGAGGAGAGGTTGGGTGGGGAGAGAGTGGTGGAGGTTGGGTGGTGGGGTGGGGAGGGGGTGGTGGGGGTTGGGTGGGGAGAGAGTGGTGGAGGTTGGGTGGTGGAGGTTGGGTGGGGAGGGGGTGGTGGAGGTTGGGTGGGGAGGGGGTGGTGGAGGTGGGGAGGGGGTGGTGGAGGTTGGGTGGGGAGGGGGTGGTGGAGGTGGGGAGGGGGTGGTGGAGGTTGGGTGGTGGAGGTTGGGTGGTGGGGAGGGGGCGGTGGGGTTGGGTGGGGAGGGGGTGGTGGAGGTGGGGAGGGGGCGGTGGGGTGATAGTGAAGAGGCCGAGGGGTTGGTGTGGGTGAGAGCAGGTCCATGGAGAGGCTGAGGCTGAGGCTGGGAGTCGGGACGGGTTGAGTGACTTGGCCATGGAGGAGCGGCTCCGGGGCTGCCTGCCCTGCCTGGGCAGCCTGTGGGACTACCTGTGGCCCAAACCCCAGCCACGCAACCCCTTCCCCCAGCGGCCAGAGGTCACCGTTATCTCAGGTCCCTTCCCGGAGCGGGGCGCCCCCCCCTCCCCCCCCTCCCCCCCGGCCCTGCGCCCCAGTGCCCCCCTCCCCTCTCTGTTCGTGGCTCTCTATGATTTCGAGGCCAGGAGTGTGGCAGAGCTGACAGTGGCCAAAGGGGAGACCCTGAGGGTTCTCCAGGACGAAGGGGACTACGTTCTCGCCTCCAAAGTGGTGGAAGACGCGCAGAGGAAGGGTTTGGTGCCCTCCACTTATGTGGCGCAATTGGAGGAGAGTCTCACAAACCAACAGTAAGTACTTGTTGAGCTGCACTGCCTCCCGACAGCTCACTTTCTTTGGTCCTGTTTCCTATTTGGGATGTTTTTGCTGTGGTCAGTGCAGTGCCTGTGGTGACTGACTGGACAACAGGTCTTTTGCAAACCACCATATAAACTACAATGGGCAAATTGTGTGGTTTCAGCTGATTGGACTCCAGCAAATATCTGCCCAATTCTCTAATATATATACATATATATAATCATAATTGCCTTAAGACTTATTAGACATTGTGATGGTATCACAACTTTTTGTTCACCCTGTATAGTAATAGTAATAATAGTAATAATATCCAGGGTTGGGTGCACACCTTGATTGCTATTCAGGGAGGTCAACAGCTTTAGAAACCAATTTGTATTTTAAGGCATTGATGAGATATATGTGTGTGAAGTTGGTGAGTAGTGCGAAGTTTTAAAGTGGCCAAGGGACGAATTGGGTGTTAAATGATGAAGTGAATTCCTCTTTTCGAAATATGTTGGGGATTTCTTCCAGCATTCGTGATGTGAACTGTGATAACACGAGCTATGCAGCTGCAAAAGAATGTGGACAGACCTGCCATCGCTCTCTCTGGAACTTTTGTCTCCCAGATATCACATTGTTGTACTGACATTTCCCTGCAAACACTTCAGTGTAATACTGTATTAAGACTCAAAGACTAAAACCCGGAGTTCCTCTTTTCCAGGTGGTACTTTGGAGACATATCTCGAACCAATGCCGAAAAATTGCTTCTCTCTCCAGAAAATGCAACTGGATCTTTCCTCATTCGTAAGAGCCAGAACAGTCAGAATGATTACACAATCTCAGGTATCTTACAACATTTTTGCTGCTCATGTCACGAAATATATATTTGACCTAGTGGCATACACATTTTGAAGATAATGCAAATCATTTGGAAGTCAATTTTCGCCAGTTCTTTTTACATTCCGCTGGAGATGATCAGAAGCACAGGTTAATAATAAGAATTTTATCACATACATACAGGACATAAAGTGGCACTGTTTTAGCAAGAGTCTGTGCTAATTAGGGAAACAAATTACATCCGTCTTTTGGTATTGACTAGTCAGCTTCTCCCCTTAAAAAATGGCCTTCTTTCGGCTTATCATTTCTTACGGCAGTTAATTCTGTAGCAAGTTCTGAAATACGTCCATTGGAATAAGCATCGGGCTTTCTCTGGTACTCTTGCACCAGTCATGTGGGAAGCGTAAATTATTGTGGAACCGCCTCATGATTTTGACGCGCCTTTAATTTGTTTTCTATTTTAAACACATTTGCTTAGAGAAAAATAAAATCAATTGGTGTGGCAATTTTTAAGTGACTTGACTCACAATATGTAGGTTTAAGTTTTTAAAAACCTCCTGTATTCTTGACCAAATCTGCCATCTACAGTTGTCAGCCCGGCTCAGCTGGTGAGTCAGAACTGACTGAATTCCAGTGCAACGCTGTGGGTAAGCTTGATAATTGGAGACGCTGTCTTTTGAATGACACGTTAAACTGAGGGCCGGTTTGCCTGTTTAGATGTACATTAAAAGATTCCATGGCACTATTCAAAAAGAGAAGAGAGTTTCACTACACATCACAGTAAATCCTGTGAAGGGCTTTGAGACATCCTCCCGACTTGAAAAAGGCCCTGTATCAAAATTCGAGGACTGTATGTTTATATTTCATATTTTTGCAAAGGATGAAAATGAGTGAAAATTAAAGACGTTATATTTTTGGCCATCTGGTGTAATTCAAAAAAAAATTCCTTTTCAGTTCGAAGTAATACTGTGCATCATTTTCGAATTTTCCTGGGATCTAATGGCTCCTTCTTCCTTCATAAAGACCAAACGTTTCCTACGTTAGATAAACTTTTGCAGTTTTACAAAACAAACTACAAGCTGCTGGGATTTCCATTAACAAAACCATGTGCAAAGGTAAGCAAAATAATCCAAAAGTGCCTGTTGTGTTACAGGAAGCTGCAGAGATTCATGATGAATTTAATAGGTTTGTGTCGTAAATACTGAAGCCACTTTATTTAAGAAGAGTTTCTTTGATTTGTAGCCCTTTTGTGAGCCACTAGAACACGTACACAAGTATAGTCCATGTAAAGTTATGTTATCACACTCAAGGGTTGGTAACTGTTGAAATTGCTTTAATTTGCTTTGGCGTTGCCACGATGGTTTTGAAGTTTTCAACTTTTTAGCGTTGTCAACTTTTCTAAAATGTTAGCTTAATTTTAAAAAAAAAGTAATGGTAGTAAGAAACTCTCTTGTGCCTTCTTGTGAAATGTCATGTGTTTTATTTTACCCCACTCTAGAAATTGACCATCTCACTGACGCATCAGATTACCTTGTGGTCTTAATACAAAAGTTTAGGATGCTTTACAAAATGCTATGTAGGTTAAGATTAATAATAATAAAACAATAATCCTTGCATTTGATATAGCGCCATATCACATCTTTGAGACGTCTCGAAGCACTTCACGGAATATAGTGTAAAGTGTAGCGACTGTGTATTTTGTGGGCAAATGTACTGGGCTCCATATTAATACAACGGAATCTGCTGTTGCCTAGCTTTATTATCTGTATATATATATAACATACATACAATGTATCTCAAAGGCTTGTGTGTTTGGAAAAAGTAGTATACGTATGTGTCGGTTTATTTGCAACAGGCAGCTCCGGAAACCGATGAATGGGAAACTCCGAGAGAAGAGTTCACTTTGCTCAAAAAACTGGGAGAAGGTCACTTTGGAGAAGTCTGGGAGGGAATGTGGAAGGACAAGCGGGTGGCGATCAAAACACTTAAGACGGGTTTGTGCCACGACTTTGTTTCTTAAGGACAAGGAAGACTGGTTTGCATGTAAATTGAACACTGATATTTGCCAAGAATGAAAAATATATGAGTCAAGTGAAGGGATATTGGTCACTCACAGTCAGTAATCTGTTCTATTGGGAACACTGTGTAGAAGCTAAAGAGAATATTCATATCAATTTAATACCATGACGAGCTGACTATTACTAGCTATTTGCGTCTTATTCATAATTTATAATCTATTGGCCCTGGTTGGAAATTTAATAAAGGAAATTTAATAAATTTAGTAAAGGAAAATTACTAAATACTCAGCAATAAGTGGATGATTGTTGCTCTCTCTCTCACAGACGATATGAAACAGGAAGACTTTGCTAAAGAAATACAAGCTATGAAGTCAATAAAACATCCCAAACTAATGCAGTTATATGCCATTTGTTCCATTGGGGAACCTGTTTACATTGTCGTTGAACTGATGACCAAGGGAAACTTACTGGACTATTTGCAAGGTTGGTAACTAAAGAATGTATCAACCGTTTTTTACACGTCCTCTGTTTTATGAAATGTTTACAATAAACAGTAACACTGATGTTTAAAACACAATATTGGTAGCAGAAGTTGTAAGGTGCTCCACACTGAGCAATTTGAGTAGTTGCTCCACTTCAGAAGTAAACGACGTTGGAACAGAATTTCTGCAGGTTGATGTGACTTTGCTTCTACTATTGATTATTAGCAACTCCTGATACGATAAGTTGTGCTTCGGTGCCCAACAGAGGTTTACAAAAGAGAATGTGAATGGTCATTTTACCCACAAAATATACAGTCAATCCACTTGATATTATATCCTGTGAAGCACTCTAAGGTGCTACATCAAATGCAAGGGTGATTATTATTATTATTATTCAGCATAGAACACAACCCAAACATTTGTAAAACTATCAATAAGCAAGTCTGATGGGGAATAGATTCATGGGATCATATTTCAACCATTATTAGAAAGGCTCATCTTAAGAAAATAAGGTCTTGATCTATGGGAAGGGAACTCGTTGCAAACCACTGCAGGCTTTCATAACTATATTCTCGTCAGCAACAATCTGAATAAATGACATAATTTTATGATGATACACAATTTCAAGGCACATTTGAACTGTGACAGAATTGACAAGACTGCTCCGTGACAGTGTCTTATTTAGAAAATATTTCAAGTAAGGAAATGAATGACTCATTCATGTCGGTGTTAATATTTGTTTTGCTTTCCTAGGCGCTGAGGGAAAAACACTGACAATGATGCACTTCTTGTACATAGCCAGCCAAGTGGCTGACGGAATGGCTTACTTGGAAGAACTTAAATTTGCCCATCGCGATTTGGCTGCAAGAAATATCCTCGTCGGAGAGCAGCTGGTCTGCAAAGTAGCAGATTTTGGGTTAACACGGCTAATCCGGGTAAGTCAGGCCATAAACCTGATTGATCACTGAGGAGTTAGCGCCATCGTTTTTGACAAAACAAAGATTCTTTTCTTGTTTGTCAGATGAAACCTATAACAAAATAAGGCCACATTGAACTTTTACTCTGTGGAGCCTTTTTGTAACTGTAGCAAACGTTTTGTTTTGATCGAGCAGGATGATATGTACCAGCTTAACGTTGCGACCCGAATACCTATTAAATGGACAGCACCAGAGGTTTCAAATTTCCAGAGATATTCGATAAAGTCTGACGTCTGGTCCTTTGGTATTCTTTTGTACGAAATAGTGACGAAAGGCAAAGCACCTTACGAAGGTAAGCAAAGCTTTGTAAGCGTGAATCACTTTCGAATCGTACAGAGCTGTGCATTTATTATTATTATTATCCTTACTTCACTTCGTTTTGCAGGAATGACAAACAAAGATGTTGTGGAGAAAGTAAACAATGGCTACAGGCTCCCTTGTCCTAACGGCTGTAGCAAAGATGTTTATGCGATTATGCTCAGATGCTGGAATATATCCGAGGAAAACCGACCAACATTTATTGATTTGAAGAATGAACTTGATGTACTGTATTCTGAACATTATTACCAAAGTTGAAGTTTTGCGGAGGAACAAGGCAAATACCCACTGCCATGTGATGAAATCCACAGTGAATGACTGACTCAACTTTCGTTGAAATAAGCCATTGCAATGTAATCGTTTTCTATAAAAATAATTCTAATGGTAATTCACTTGGTCTATTGTAATTAAATCAAAAACAGATAGGACATTCCAAAGGGACATCGGCAGGCATTTGCTGTAACATAGGAACTGTAAAGTTAGGAGATCTTCATGGATGATTTAGGATGTTTTAGAATGTACGTTATACCATTCAAAATATTTAAAGAGTTACAGGGTGCTGAGATGGGCAGCAAACTAAGCAATAGTAGAACTACAACAGCTTGCATTTATGCAGTGCCTACACCGAGGATAACGTTGGAGCGCTTTGCAGTGGAGGGGTTGGACACTGAGCCAGATGGCAGTGGGAGGTGATTAAGAAAGCACAGTCGAAGAGGTAGATTTTCAGGTAGGATTTAAAGGTAGAGAGAAGGGTAAGGCAGAGGTAACAATGTACACTCCAGGTTGACAGCACTTCCTAACCCCAACATAACCACGTTTAAGATGCAAGGACAACTTTTGTTCCATAAAAAATGTATTGAATATTTGCGATAACATCGGGCAAATTCAATACTAAATAGCATATTTACTGATTTAAAAGCAACGTTTATCAAGAATCTGGAAAATTCTTTCTCTTGATTACCTGCACATGTTTTAGTGGAAAAAACAATGTGCATGTGAGTAGGTACTTATTTGTACTTCCCTATTCTACTTTTACTTATCACTTATATTTACTTTTTACTTATTCTGATATTGTATTTTATTTTAGAAGATTGATTCTTCTGTAGATGGTGGTGGGATTGATTCATTCAAAGCTCTATAGCGTGCACTTCCTAGATTTTTAAGCAATAATCTTTTCATTTGCGAGTGGAAATTAAATGGGAAATGTACTGTTAAAACAGCAGCCTTCAAAAGATAAAATACCCTACGAAATAATGTTGTGCAACATTTTCAGAGAAATATATTGAAATGATGTAGTTTTTCATTCACAGTTCACTCAGAGAGAACATTTTGCTGCATGTCATTTTCTGTTAGTTGCGTATTTTAATAAGTAGAAAGATGTCAGTGGATAAGGCAGAGTGCTTTGTTTAGTGGGTTTATTTACAGTCGAAGCCATCTTACTAAAACACAAACGTGCTGATACTTTTCCTTGCTGTAAAATAAACGCAAAATCATTTTTTGTTATCAGAAATGTAAAGTTTGGTTATGTGTAACCACAACAGTTATTTATACAGCACCCTTCACGCGAAATGTCTCTCGGGAATGCTCCACTGGAATGAATCATTTTGTGAAATCAGATTAGGAAACATCTTTTATCCTCCATGTGACCATTAAAGAGCAAAAGAGGAAATAAATGTGTCTTCTCGTGTCTCTACAAATATTACTTATTTGGGAAATCAACTCATAAACCGTGGTCTTTCCAAAACGATTGGATTTTCAACCTGATAAACTTGCTTTAAATTGCTGATCAAAATCCCAACAAACATGGTCTTCGTTCCTTTGTCCATTCTTGCGGCTCTATTTGATCTCGTTCCTAGAAAAAAATCCCTCGATTGATTTCGAAGTTATCAGTGTTACATCACTCCAACCAAGGTTTCTGTATGTCCCCTCTTTTTATTCCTCCCTTGACTGGAAGGTTGCCAAAGGAAAGAAGACCCACCTCTTCGCCCATGACTTTGGCCACCCTCCTACCCTCTCTGCTCTCCACCTTCCCTTACCCCGATCCCCCCCACCTTTTGCCTGCTCAGGTCCAAATCCCTGACAGCAAATAGTTCAGCTATGGAGGGGGGGTGGTGGTGGGAGGGAGAGGTATCACAGCTGACAGTGTTTACATGTTTTTTTCTTGACAAACTTTTGATTCTAATTCTCTTTCCCTCCCTCGTTGATTGAAGTTGTCCTTGTCTTTCCTTCCTCTGGGATACAATTATTTGGGAGCTGGCTGGGACATTTTATAAATATATTTGGGTATAGTTGAATCCATATTTGGAGTTTATAAATGATGTATCTTGGAGTTGTGTGTCTATTCACCTTTACTCAAGAAAATCCCCCACCTACATTTGCAGCGTTCCAGGAAAGACTCGAAGTATATTTTCAGTCTATACCTGTTGCAGTTTATTGCTGTAATATTTTCATTTATGATCAAGGGTCTAAGTCCGCTGAGATTCCCTCCGCTTCTAAAGCTGTTCAAGGTTGAACATACTTCTGAAAGGTTTTCCTTCAGATTTAGCGTCTAACTTTGTATTTCTTCTGCAGAGTCGACTTCCTCTTTGTTCAACCAAACTATATAAAAAATGTAATATTGAGTCATATAGAGGTGCAGATTCCAATCATTTTGATTAAAATATTATTGGGGCCTTGATTCAGATCATTCTCAGTTACCTGCTTCTAATCTGCCATCATTTCTTATCATATATTATGGTAACCAGTGAGAGGGGTTGAAGGGTTGAGTAACATTCAGGCGTGGCTTTCCTGCCTGATAGAACAAGCTTTTCTTGTGGCAGCATAAAAACATGATTAATTTAACATCCGCAGGCAGTTACGTTCAACTGGCTGGAACGGGATATAAGAGCACTTGAGATCAGAGAGGAGAAGTATACCCGCACTGTAACTGTCAGGACTAACCAGCCATCAGATGTAAGCTCCACTCTAAACCCAGCATCCATCATGGCTGAATGTCTACGAAGAGTTTTTCCATGTTTCAAATGTCTTCATGGTTCCAGAGTAAGACCCAGAGATGTGAGTCCATCTGTTGTTATCGAGGTTCAACAGGAATCCAACCACCAAACCCCTTGTGAAGGAACCCTTTACATTGCTCTGTACGATTTCTCGGCGAGGACAAGTGAGGAGATTTCTATCAGCAAAGGGGACAAATTCAAGGTCTTTGATGAGGATGATCGTCTCAATGGCTGGTGCTTTGCAGAGAAACTCGATGGGGGTCAGAGCAAAGGATATGTTCCCTTTAACTACCTCGCCAAGAAAGACAGTTTGGAAACAAAACCGTAAGTGAGGATAAAATCCAATGGAATTTATTGGATATATTTCAAGCCGGGAGCACTTCTCAAAATGCTTGACAATGCTGGCTGGGGACCTGAGCTTGTGGTGGCGGTTGGGGGGAGGGGGAGATGACTGAAAGAAAATGTTTTGAGATCTGAAAAGAGGGGAGGTAGGGAGTTGGAGGTACTCTGCGATGGAGTTCCAGAGAGTGGGAGCGTGAAGGCCGTCATATCAAATCCAAAGATTAGTATTTAATCGCTATTTGATGTAACACCTCAAATTGTTGAAATGCCTCAAAGTGGTTCACAGGATATACTGCGAAGTGTAGTGACTGTGTATTTGTAGGTGAACACGGCAGCCAACTTGCAGTGTCCCACAAAATAGCCTTGAAGTCGATTACTATTTTTTCTGGGGGATTCTTGTCCAGGTCACCGGTAGAAACTTCCTTCTCTTTTGGAATGTACTTTGCTTTCGATTTGTGTCATTCCAGTAATTACATTTGCTTCCTGCTTTAAGTGGCTTAGCAAGTAGATATATTGATTATCTTGTAAATAGCAAACCAGACATTGTCTTGTTTCCTTTGCCCATTCTTGTGGATCTATTTGATCTTGTTCCTAGAAAAATCCTTTTTTTCAGTCAATCGGGTGTCTGACACCTGCGGAAACCCATTGCCACGCTTAAGAGTAACCGAAACAAAGTGAGAGTTCCCTGCATCCCACAGTTGATCTCACAGAATCTATATTCACCTAAACCTCCTAGACTTTCTTTCTCAGTGAGGGAATATTACTCAATTGTATCCCAGACGTGCAGAATCTGAAGTGGCCAGTGATGAACAAAAGCGTTTATTTAAAGGTAGCAAGTGGCGGAAAATAAACCAAGCAACGTGAATTAGGGATTTGTTCCAAGTGTTTTGCAATGATTCTTATCACAATAAATTTGCATATGGGGAGCACAGAATGCTTCTTTCATGTTAGTCCAAATTACAGGCTTTACATTGTTGTTCTACCACATTGAGTCACTCATCAGAATACTTTTGCCAAATGGATTTGCCAGATGTATTTATGCAGCAATATATTTCCTTCTCTTCTGTTTGTGCAGGTGGTATGGTGGGACACTCAGCCGATCTGAAGCTAAAAGTATTCTCTCAGACCAGAATGTGAGTGGCTCCTTCCTCATCCGTAAAAGTGAAAATCATAAAGATGCGTATGCATTGTCTGGTAAGTATGATTGCAGAACTAAATTGTAAAACTACTGTAGGACTCTAATACTGTAGCATACAGAGCTTTATTTTCCCTCTTCTTATCACAGTGCAGGATAAAGGGTGTGTGCGACACTTTCGTGTCTACAAAGGTGAAGATGGACGTTTTTTCTGAAATCCAGTCATCAGTTTTCTAATCTGTGTGAACTTGTGGACCATTACAAATCCAACAATCTTCAGGCAGGTCTCCGACTGACATTACATTGCAAGAAGGTAAGTTCACTTCAAACAAGCTGCATTCAGTTTGTTATTCTCCGTAAAATCCTGAAGTTTTTTCTAATGCATGATTTAACAACAACAAAATTACATGTGTATAGCGCCTTTCACGTCAGGAGGGCGTCCAAAGGCGCTGGACAGACAGAGTTACGGACCCGAGCTGGGGGTCGGGGTGGGGGAGGGTGGAGGGCAGGGGGGGAAGCAGGGAGATCGAAAGCACGGTCGAAGAGGAGGGTCTTGAGGTGGGTCTTGAAGATGGCGAGGGAGGGGGTGAGACGCAGGGACTGTGGGATGGAGTTCCAGAGGGTGGGGGCAGAGTGGCGGAAGGCCCGCCCGCCGATAGTGGGGCGAACGAGGTGGGGGACATAAAGCAAGCCAGAGCCCGCTGAGCGGAGGGAGCGAACAGGGTGGTAGGGGGTTAGGAGGTCGGAGAGGTAGGGGGGAGCAAGACCATGGAGGGCTTTGAAGGTGAGGACCAGGAGCTTGAACTTTAACAGTAAATGCAACAGAAGGGTGCCATGATCAGTCCCTCAGTACAGTCAGTTACAAACTGGTGGACAAATTGGAGTTTTACATTGTGAATAATGCGCACCTGTTTTTGAAGATACTGTATATCTGCAATTGCAAGGTCTCAATGATGATCCAGATAGCCTGGTTATCCATCTACAGTAGGCTATGGTGTTTAGCAATCAATGAAACCATATTTTCAACCTAATGCAAAGATTTATTACAAAAGTCTGTCACAATAATCCCTAACACAATGGAAAGTCTGAGTTAAAAATTCACTTGACGTATAGTTTGTGTTCTGTATTTGAAATAGGTTGAACCAGTTCTCAGGGATTTGTCCCATTCCACGGTGGATGCCTGGGAACGACCGCACGAGGAATTCACTCTTGAAAAGTTAATAGGTTGTGGGAAATTTGGAAAAGTTTTCGCTGGATATTGGAATAAGACCGTTCAAGTCGCCATCAAAACAATAGAAGTCGGTAAGGATATATACGTGTGGGAATATTGAGAGGGAACCCCTGTTCAAAGCGGAGATTCAGCTGGTGTTTGCATTCAGGTTTCTGCCAGAAAGGGAATTTGAAATTGAAGCACTCCAGGACTCTACCCTGTGTGAAGGGCGCTATATAAATGTAAGTTGTTGTTGAATTATTGTCAGTTAGGCTCTTTGGGATGTCTCTATGTTGTAGGTGCTTTATCAAATGCAACAATTAATATTTCTTCCTCATTTTCCTTCTCGGTTCCGTATAAAGGCTTGCAAACACTTCACCATCTAGACACCTCTGGATATCCACATTTTTTAATATCTTCTTTAAGCCACTTCACGCATTACCCTGCTAACCCTGTCTAGTTACAACATATATAGTTATATAGTGCCCTCCACGCAGGGCAGCATCTCAGAGCGCTTAATAGTGGCGGAGTCTGACTCCGAGCCGGGGGCTTGGTGGGAAGGGGGGGAGGTGGCTGTAAGCACGGTCAAAGAGGAAGGTTTTCAGGCAGGACTTAAAAAATGGGAGAGAGGGGGCAAGGCGGAGGGATTGAGGGAGAGTGTCCCAGAGTTTCAGGGTGCAGTGGCTGAAAGCGCGACCTCCGAAGGTGGGGCGGAGGGTGCGAGGGACGAGCAGGAGGCCGGTGCCAGTCGAGCGGAGGCGCCGGGTGGTGGATTGGGAGAGTGAGGAGGTCGGAGAGGTAGGGAGGGGCCAGAGGGCGAACGGATTTGACCATGAGAGTGAGGATCTTGAAGTTGATCCATTCGGTGATGGGGAGCCAGTGGAGCCTGGGCCAGAACTGGTGAGATGGAGGAAGAGAGTTTGGTCCGGGTCAATGTGTGGGCAGCAGAGTTCTGAACGAGCTGGATTTCTGGTTAGAATTCAATTGCAAGGTATTCATTAACTATTCATATTCATTGATATGAATGCGTACTCCATAGCACAAGGTAAACAGCGTCTTAACATGACACAGCAGCGCTCCCTGGTGGAGTCTCCTGTGACCTGCAGGTCTGTTGTCTCAATTTGCCACACAGTCTGTTCTTAAAAATAATAATAATCCTCGCATTTGATATAGCGCTTCTCACGTCTTCGAGACGTCTCAAAGCGCTTCACAGACTATGCTGTAAAGTGAATTGACTGTGTATTTTGGGGGCGAAACACGGCAGCCAATTGCACACAGCAGCGTCCCCACAAACAGTGGTGGATTGAAGTGATCAAATTATTATTGTTTTCTTTTGCTTGAGGGATTATTACCAGGCGTGTGGAGTAAGGAAACTTGCCCAAGGTTTCACCCTGCCAGGAATCGAACCCAGATCTCTCGCTTGCCAGGCGAGTGCTCTAACTACTGAGCTACAGGACTCATAATCTTAATCTTAGCTGTGCCATTGTGGGGAAGACAGCAAACAGGTGCTGGGGCCTTCTCCCTGTAGTTAATGGTGGGAGCTTTTATTGTATCAGAGATTTCAGAATAAAGGTTTTTTTTAAAACATTGATGGTTCCAAACCATACCTACTTGAAGAGATTTTGGAAGAAAAATTTGGAACAAGAAAGTAGCTCAGGGAAGACTAAAAGCTGAATAAACGTGCTAGCCTTCGACGTAACACATTCTTTCAATTTCATATCCTTTTTTTTCTCTCCAGATGTGACGAATCAGAGAAGTTTTCAGGTCGAGATGAGTATAATGAAGCAGCTGTATCATCCCCACTTATTATCGCTGTACGCTGTGAGCACAGAGCGAAACCCTTACTACATCATCACTGAGCTAATGAAAAAAGGCAGCCTCCTGGATTATTTACGAAGTTGAGTTTCAATCCATTCGGTTTAAAATGCTGCATATTTTTCCTGTTTCCTGTCTGCCACAAACATGAACAAATATTTTTAAGACCTCGCTTTAATTTTCAGCCAAACTGAAAGCCACCAACTCGATCACCATCCTTGCGTACCATTAGCTGTTCTGAACACTTTGAGTAAAAGTTTGCTGTTTGTTGACAAGTAATTTAGTTAGACCTTTCCAGTTGTGAATCCTGGATGTTTCCAGTTGGGGCATCTTAAAGGAGCTGAGGCAGAATAAACCCCGCTACAATGAGAATTTAAATAAAATATAAGTAGAAACCAAATAGACACTTAACTCACGTTCTCAGCACCACGATTGCAACCGCTATAGAAAGCAGAATATACTATAAAGTGAATATTTGTGGGCAAAACTCGGCAGCCAATTGCACACAGCAGCGTCCCCCAAACAGTCATGGATTGAAGTGACCAAATCATTATTGTTTTTTTTTTTTTCATGAGGAGCTATTATCAGGTGTGTGGAGTAAGGAAACATGCCCAACCTTTCGCCCTGCCGGGAATCAAGCCCAGGTCTCTCGCTTGCGAGGCGAGTGCTCTAACCACTGAGCTATAGGACTCCCAACTATAGGATTTTTTTTGAGACTCAGACCTATTATGAACAAACTGACTTTCGCCCCATCATCCCAGTACAGTTTGAATCCAGGTTAAAGAACTCAAAGGGCATCTTATCTACTGCTAATCTGTCCCACCAGAAAAAAGTGACTTCTTTCTTTTTTTTATTATTATTATTATTATTATAATTCTTCAAGATCACCTTTTTGCCAGGCTCAGAAGGCAAACAGCTGAATTCAGAACAGCTGTTGGACATCGCAATCCAAGTGGCAGAGGGGATGCTTTATTTGGAATCCCAAAACTACATCCATCGGGATTTGGCTGCAAGAAACATCCTCGTTGGAGAATATAATGTTTGTAAGATTGCTGACTTTGGATTAGCCAGAATTATACAGGTAACATTGGTTTCCTCTGAATTAATACCACACAAAAATAATAATAGTAGTAGTAATAATAATAATAATAGTGAATTGACTGTATATTTTGTGGGCGAAATACGGCAGCCAATTGCACACAGCAGTGTCCTACAAACAGTCGTGGATTTAGTGATCAATTCATTATGTTTTTTTAAGGAATTATTATCCTCAGAAAAACGAACCGCCAATTGACTTAACAACCGGGTTCCTTCTTACTGCTAGGTAAACAGATACGTGTGGAGCAAGAAAACTTGCTCAAGGTTTTTCCCTGCCCGGGAATCAAAACCAGTCTCTCGATGGCGAGGCGAGCACTCTAACCACTGAGCTACAGGATTTAATAATAACAATAATAAATTTGTGGAAAAAGGGAGGAATGCTCTTCCATTATATAATATTATATACAATATAACCAAGGTGCTAAGCTTAAACATGTATCCACAAACAAGTGATTTGCCTGAATGGCAAGACAGCCTTAGCTAAGTGGTGTCCTGTAGCTCGGTGGTTAGAGCACTTGCCTTGCACATAATAATAATTTGGTCACTCAATCCACGGCTGTTTGCGGGACGCTGCTGTGCGCAATTGGTTGCCGTGTTTCACCCACAAAATGTACAGTCAATTCATTTTACCACATTCTGAGAAACTCTTTGACACGTCTCGAAGACGTGATAAGACGCTGTATCAATGCAAGGATTATTATTATCATTATTTATTGTGAAAGATAATTTATAATCAGTCAGAGTCTGAAAAGTTATTGTGAATTGACTGTATATTTTGTGGGCGATTTGTTGTGAATGTACAAATATAAATCATTTCTAATTGTGCTAAAGTTAATCAATATATTTCATGTACAAAATACAGGAAGAAGTGTATTTGTCAACATCTAAAGTCATTCCATATAAATGGACAGCCCCGGAAGCTCTTGAATATGGTCGTTATTCTGTGAAGTCTGATGTTTGGTCCTTTGGTATCCTTCTTTATGAAATAGTCACTTATGGTAAAATACCTTATGTAGGTAAGTCTCCTGTTTTGTGCTTCCACAAATAAACATAAGGATTATATTTTCTGAAATAGTTATTTTTAATATCTCCCCTTTCTAAAGATAAATCATCTTTTACATAAATAAATTATCTTTTACAATAAATAATGATAATAAATCATTTTTCTGCAGGTCTGGACAATCAGGAATTAGTGCAGAAGGTGTCCATGGGTTACAGAATGCCTCGTCCCGAAGGCTGTTCTATGCATTTGTATCAATTAATGCAGGAGTGCTGGCATAAGAACCCACAAGAACGCCCAACATTTGAAACAATAACGTCAACAATGGTGTCCTTCGAATATTATGGAGTCCTGGAGCACAGTAGTTAGAGCACTTGCCTAACAAGCGAGAGACCTGGGTTTGATTCCCGGGCAGGGTGAAACGTTGGGCAAGTTTCCTTACTCCGCGCGCCTCTGTTTACCCAGCAGCAAGTAGGAACCCGGTTGTTAAGTCGATTGGCGAATCGCTTTTCCGGGGGTAAAATTCTTTTAAAATAATAATAATAATAAACTGGTCACTTCAATCCACGACTGTTTGTGGGACGCTGCTGTGTGCAATTGGCTGCTACGTTTTACCCACAAAATATAGTCAATTCACTTTAAGGTAGACTGTGAAGCACTTTGGGATATCTTGACGATGTGATATAAGGTGATATATCAAATGCAAGGATTTTTATTATTATTATCATTAAAATGTACCAATTTTTGGTCCGATCAGCTTATTTAAATTAAGGAACATTTTCGGCTTGGCTTCCTTGTTTTCAAGCCATTTATCGGTTGTGTGATCTCATTCTCTTGAGGCGGTTCAGGTTCAGAGTTCGTACTTTAAAACAACCACAACTTTCATTTATGTTGCGACCTTCAGATAACGTCTCGGAATGCTTCACAAGCATCTGGGCGGATGGCAATCGAGGGGGAGATCAGGTGATCATAGGTAAAGGTCAAACAGCTGGGTTTTAGGGAGATTTATAGACAGATAAAGAGGAACGATTGACGGAATTCCAAAGGTTAAGGAAGAGTGGCTGACGTTGTTTACCATGCAGCAAGTCCAAGTTAGTCAAGCAGATAAGAACGGATGTAGGAGAAGGTCACAGAGACAGGGAGGTACTAGGGCATGAAGGGCTCTAAATCATAATGGAACAGAGAGTGTACTCTTTATCCAGTCATTGCCGTAGGAATTACTGTAAACAAATGTGCTCATAGAGAACTCTTTGTGTTTAGACTCCCAGTAGAATGCTTGCTGTCCTCTGGTGACCTTATTTGTGGCGATGAAACTTCAAGTAGACTTCAGGCTTCTTGAGGGAAGCTAAGTGAAGCTTCTCTCCTGAGAACTTAAATAAGTTGATATGCGCAGCACTGATGGAAACCACTCTGCTTGAATGCGTTTCGTGTGTGTTTGTGTGTGAACTTCCAAGTTATGTCGATAATATCACAAATATTGTTTCGCAAAGTATTACCATGTTGCCTTTGCCAGCCCAAATAAGTTCAGAGTGGGAACAGTTTACTAAGATCTCATTCAGACAGTAACTTGAAATATCAAAAGGCCTTTTTCAGTTTTCGTCATTGAGGATGGCATTTTGTGGGGTTTAATAACGTAAGAACAGAAAAATTTACTGAGCGAAAAAAGACCAAAGTCCATACCTTCTACCATCCTGGTAATCACATGCACATATTATGTCCCAAACTATATACTGTATCCCGAAATATTATTTCCCAACAGAAATCCCATCTCATATGTTCTTGTAAGAAAGGCACTTTCTGCTTCCACTGTCTAAAGGCTAACAGTCCCTCGGTGGAGTTTGATGGAGTGCGAGGATCTGCCTTGTAACTGCATGGCTTGTACCTTCTTTACCCTGATCTGAGGTGGGAGGATTTAATAATGACATTAAATGACAAAATGGGAAAATGACTCAATGAGCATCTTGATCAACTCTAATATAATATGAATTGACTCAGTGACATGTGGAGGATAGATCGCAGTTACTCGATCTTAACACCAGATGGCAATCTAAAAAGAAATATAATATATAATAATAATATTATATAATATATACTTTTGATTCCCATGTTTTGTGAATTAGATAAATGGCTCCTTCAGCTAAATATTTTAATTCTTTCTCAGCTTCTCATCATTGCTTGCCTAATGCTTCCCTTTTTTTTGTTGTTGATCGATTTTGAAGATTTAGAGCCTGCAACATCCAAACTATTCAATGTGCTTGACAGGTAATAATAATAGAATAATCCTTGCACTTGACATAGATCTTTATCGTTTGGTCGAGATAGAAATGCTATAAAGGTCTGTATATTTTATGGGTGAGTTAAATTGCTGTCGTGTAGTGACTGCTTGTAGGGATAAACCTGAGCAAAACACTTTTACGAATGCTTTCACACCGTGTTGATGCTGGAGTTTTCTGTGAATATAATATGGCAGGTGGGATGTTATGCTTAAACGTTCCTGTTTTTTTCCTCAGAGACTGTCACATTTCTGGGTTTTTAATAACATTTGAAAATGAACTGGCATTTAGTGCAGGGTAGGGGAACCCAGTCAACACGCAATCCCCTCAACAGATGGGTTAAGGAGTGACAGGTATGCAAGCTAAACAGTTAAACTGCGTGCACCATCAAGGGCTTGTCAAACAGCAAAGGTGGAGATGAACATTGGGTGTGGTTCATAAAGGTTTCTAGTCGCTGTCAAGCCGCTGTGGACAAACATTAGGATTGGGGTGTTTGATTTTTAGTTGAAAAAAGATTTTCTATGACATTGTATCGATCGCGAGCAAGTCAATATTTTAAATATTGTGTTCAAGGCATGGGAGAGGTTCAGAAGGAATGTGGTGGATGGGCAGAATTATCTTTCTCATTCGGTGATTTCTTGTATTCTTTCTGACCCTGCGTTGTTTTATTGTTAACAGAATTTGAATCTTCACTTATTACCGATATTCCCTTTGAACTGTCTGCATTTTAAATACAATGTCTTACCCCCAAAGTTTCTCTGTTGCTCTGAGATCAGTGATTGGCATTTACGTTCAATAGTTAAGCCCCAAGACTTGATAATTGGACTCGAGGTACAGATCAGCCATGATCTTATAGAATGACAGAACAGGCTTGAGGGGCTGAATGGCCTCCCCCTGTTTCTATGTTTCTAAGACGGCAGCACTGACTTGCTACAACAACAACAAAATTATATTTATAGAGCGCCTTTCACGTCAGGAGGATGTCCCAAGGCGCTGATCAGCAGCAAGGGGGAAGCAATGAATTTCCAGGTATCATATTTCAGGCTAGTGCTTGACCTCATCCACTAAAGATATCAGGTGATGAACCAATAATGTCCTCCACAGTATTTGAACCAGTGTCAGCTGGTAATAGTTGCTTTGCTGTTATTTTACAAGCAGGAATTTTGAGCTGGAGAATGAAACAAGAGAAAGGGGGTTAATGTATTGGTATATAATAGAAACATAGAAACAGGAGTAGGTCATTATCCCTCGAACCTGTTCCACCATTCTATGAGATCATGGCTGAGCCGTACCTCAAGTCCAATTACCCGCTCTTACCCCGTATTCCTTGATACCCTGACCTAACCACTCTAATAATATATTCCTGGCATTCAATATGATGTCTGTATCATCAGAACTTTTCAAAACACTTTCACAGAGTTTCTGTATATTAGTGGATGCTCTGATGTACAAATGTTGTCTTTTCTTTTATATAAATAGTTTAAATAATTGTAATATATATCTAAATGAGATAAATAAATAAACAATCCTTGAGAAGTAATGATTCTTTGCGCTCTGTGCTTTGGAGAGGGAATGAGGAGGAGGGGGTTGGGGCAAGATGTGAGATGAAGATGAACATGTGGTGAAGATAAATTTCCGAGGCTTTTCCTGAAAGTCTTTCTGGAGATCAAGGAATATCAGCAAAGAAAGAGGCCATTTGGCCCATCATTTCTGTTATGTTCCTATGTAAGTGGCGATTGAATGCTATGTACTCCTGAAACATGAAGAAATTTTCAATTAACTGGGTTAGTAAACTTTTTGTTTGATATTTATTTAAAACTATAAATTCATCACTATAATATGATGTGTCCAAGTGAGATGGAGGAAAGAAAACAGCAAAATTCCACTGCCATTGGATTCTTCCCAATTCCAACATGACTCATGTATGTTCCAGGAATGAATGATAAAACTCGATGTAGAAATAATAAGTGACTAAGAAGTTAGGGCAGGCACACCTAACAGGCTGTGTTTAGTTTATTTGATTTAAAACAATTCTAAAACTTATCATTTCCACACATATCTTGGTTTGATTTCACTTACGGATGTATGCAGAGAAACGTTTATGAATGTGATCAAGGATTTATAGGGAAAATGCAGGCTAAATACAATGCACACAGGAAGAGACTGATGGTAATCTGGGGAGCATTGCGGCAAGCTTGCAAAGGAGTACATGAACTAATACAGATCACACACTTTAGTCCAAAATAGACCTGGGATGTTTGCAAGCAACTGATTTGCGGAGCACAGAATGTATTTGCTTTTGCCAAGATGTACAACGCTCAGATGCCAGATGTGAATCACTAAAATAATATTTCTGTTTCTATATAAAGGGTTCACAGTTAAAAGCTATCGTTTTGTTTAGAAGGTCTAAGTGGAAAGCATTACTGGATGGAATGGAATGACAGATGACCTTTTTAAGTCTCTCTGAGCAGTCACTGTGATTTTATTTAGTTAAGGAGTACTTTAATGCATTACCTATAAAATGCTCAACTCAAAACAGCCAACTTCAACAGGAATCAAATGATGAGACTTCAGGTCTGGGACTGACTGACTGACCCATCGAAAGTGCCACAGATTTAAAACTCTTGCACCAAAAAAATGTGACTACTCATTTCTGAAAACAATCAAATTAGACAAAAAAAGTTCCACTGCCTCATTGCTATAAAATTCTAATGCACGTTTGCCAAATAAAATAGTCCTCTTAACTGTCATTGTATCAAACCACAATGTTGTTTTTTTTTAAATGGTCACAAAGTCTACATTGTTCTCATCTTTAACTGTTTTCCCACGATTTAAGGCCCTTTCAGCAGCACACGTCATTTTCGTGTTGGCAACTTTCTGTGCAATTCCTACTAACCAGAAGCCGGGCTTGTTGGCACAGATGTTTAATAAAATCCCAACAGTGTATGCAGAATAACAAGAAGAGATTCAGTCCCATCAAACGGCATTTGCTTTGGCTCTTAAGTAAGCCTACACGTCACCAATAGTAGCTTGTCAGACTGTGCACTGAATTGTATTAAAGTACCTCCTGAAGAGTATTATAGATTATCCCTGAGAGCATGGAACAACAATACCTCATGTCAAAATAAGCCAGAGTTTTGTTGATAATGTAAAGTGAAGCCAGAAAATGCTTTTTATTTTCTTGAGGCACTTATGCAATTGCTGTTTCGCAATGAGAACATGATCACTGTTTTGTTAAAAGGGGAAAACTCCCAGTTTAATCCATCATTTTATTTAGTCATGTTTGTCTGTCTAAATAGATCATTCCAAATGCTGTAGTCATATTCAGCTTGTGACTTCATAAACCACTTTTTTTTTCAGGAATGGAGTTTCTTTGCTCTATTTGCAATAATAATAATAATCCTTGTAATTGATATAGCAACATATTACATCTTCGAGACGTCTCAAAGCGCTTCACAGAATATACTGTAAAGTGCATTGACTGTTTATTTTGTGGGCAAAACATGGCAGCCAATTGCAATGTCCCAGGTTGCCACAAACAGTCGTGGGTTGAGTGACAAGTATATTTTGTAGGTTACAAATTAACTCAATAGCTCAATAGCAGCTTCTCAAACTTGCATTGTAAACAAACAATGTCTTAAACCCTGTCAATTCTACAGCTGGTGAAATGAAACAATGAAAGTTTGTTTCAGCAAGCAGAATATTAAATATTTATTATAAAAATACAAAATGAAACGAACCATACAATACGTACAATATTTGGACTTTTTCCGAAGCGCTACACAGGCTGATGCTCAAATATTATTCATAAGTTAACGATTAAAACAAGTTTTATCGCTTTTTCTGTTCGCTAAAAATTAATTTCAATTTGGCCTTGTAAGACTGATTTGGCATTGTGTATCAATGGCTGTGCGAGATGCCGTAAACATTGTTCAGCCTAATCTCTCCTGTCTATTATTTCATATTCTGAATCAAGTAAGCAATGCTCAGCCATGCTGAGAAAGTCAGTGTATGTAAGCATCTGCAGTTTAATATTTGCTGAAGAGACTGCTTTGAAACATTTTAAATTTCACGCCTCTTGATATAGAGAGGAAGGAGGGGGGGAGGGGGGGGGGGGGCATTATAACCCAAATGTAAAATAATTTCAAAAGAGGGTCAAAATAAATGGCAGCTCGTTCGCTTAAAGTAGTCAAAGAAAGTGCAACTGGATCTAATGCAATAGTCCCTCGGGGCAATTTTAACCTTGCTCGCACTGTGCCATTTACTGTTATCTTTTGACTGTTGGATCGTTGCCAGAACCTTTTGTGCATTGCCAGGCAACATTTGTTGATCCAAGGCACTGCCATCCATTCCGTTTGTGTTGTGTTAAGGGCGTATTTCTGCATACTCTACATTTATTTCGGCTGATTGAATTGTATTGGAAGCATTATTTCAGTCCAGTTTAGTGACAAGTGAATGAACATGAGAGTTGTCTCTCATCCCGTCTCCCAGTGTATATAAATGATGTCCATATGTAGATACAGTATTCCACCCCATTACACAATTTCCTCTCATTTACCATTTGTCAAGATTGCAAAGTTAGTTTTTTTTTTAAAACTGAATGTTTCTAGGAAACAACCAGGGTTAGAGATGTGTGATTTACAGAGTAAATAAAAAAGAAACCTGTTGAGATCTGGCTAGCCAGAGCTGCCACAGATTTTCTAGTATACCAAATACCAAAAAAAAAACATCTAGCTCTTATGGCTCCTTTCAGCCAGTAATAAATACGCTTTTTGTAAACTTCACTTTAGGTTAATATTACTAAAGTCTTGCGCGTTTCAGGCAGAAAATGGGTTTGGGATCAGAACAAAGCTTTTTTTCATTTGCAATTGCTTCAAGTTATATGCCTGATATACGCTCTTGAAAGCAACCTTGATAATAATCATAATAATTCTTGGATTTGAGATAGTGCCTTATCGCATCGTTGAGACATCTCAAAGCTCTTAGCAGAATACCTTCATCTGTGGGTGCTGAAAAAAAATCACACAAGTCGTACGATTAATGTCGTTAATTATTGTAACATCAGCAACAGCTTTACCGCTCTCTTCCTTCAAGGCCAACAAAAATATAAGTTCTAATGAAAAAAAGGTCTAGAATATTTAAAACCATAGCGTCCACCCTACTTTATCTCCAATGAGAGGTTTGTTAAGCTACAAAAAGCAAACAATCTTCTGTAACATTTCCAACACTTTCACGCACAAGGTATCAAATGTGTAACTACTTTAAGTGGTTACTTCACACAATAATATTCTGAAATTTACAAATATAAGGGGCAAAGTAATAAACAATCCTTGTGTTTTACGTAGCATCTAATCAAGTCAGAACCTCTCTCAAAGCCATTTCCCCGTCATGAAAAAAAAATCAATGTATTATCTTTGACATATAAAAAAAAATTATCAGTAGAAATTAATCAGCAAACTGATTGACGGGGATTCACGATGTTTTTAAAATATGGATATGATAATAATTCAAAAGATAGCAAGGTAATTTATTGAAGTCACAATTGACATAAACGTTGCAATTAATTCGCTAGCTGATCAGTTGAGCGCAAGTTTCTACTGTATAAATGTTTAGGAAATAATGGTTCAAATGCACAAGTATGAAACCTACCTCCCAGCAGAGAACTTAGAAACAACTGGATTTGCAAACAAACAGGCAATCCACCAGTTTTTCTCTGCGGCTAATGGCAAACCTAGGTTGACAAATAATGTTTTCAGTGGCGTTTACTGTCACATTGCAATATCATAATTGCTCACAAGAATAAATATTGACTGATACCTTCATGGCTACTCTCCTGGGTTGCCAAAGAGACACCTTCTTTTCGATCGGAGTCAGAACTAGAAGAGGAAGTATTGGAAGCTGAGTTCAGTCTACCTACAAGTGAGAGACAACTTTGTTTTAATCTTAAAGAGTTGAAGGTAAACACGGAGCTGACAACCAAGATCACTTCCAGTGTAACTTCTTTTCAATTATTTGTTCTAAAGCTTCAACTGTACCATATTGTCTGACCACCTGCTGGATTAGCATATAATTTAAGTAAGTAGATATGGAATATACATATCACGGTCGGAAAGGTTTCCAAACGGGGACTGAAATGCACAAGATTATTATTCACCTTATTGGCATTGGAGAAGGTTTGACGAATCAGCCCTTGCATCTAAGTGTGGAGTGAAATTATAAATTGTACTGAGTGTAGATATTAAAGTGGCTTAGAAATATACGCAGTGAGATTTATGTGAGAGATCATACTATCGTTTTGCCCACAAAGTATACAGCCAATCGATTTTACAGTCTGGGATGTCTTGAAGACATGATAAGACGCTTTATCAAATACAAGGATTATGATTATAATTATTATACATTACAGGTAGCAAGTAATATATATTTGACTCGAACATAATGTTTTAATTGCTCACCTAGTTAGTAGAGTTGTCTATTTTACAAAAAACATAACCACGGTCTTGTTTATCAAAGTGTGTGTGTGGGGGGGGGGGGGGGGGGGAGTGGATGATTAACTTGTGTTTTTCAGACATTTATATTCAAACTGGTAGTAAAACTACAGGGTTTTTTGGGGGGCAAGATACCGATTTTAAAATATTCTCAAACACAAAAAACACAATTGCTTACAGTGTTGGTTACTTTTCCAGAGCCAGACCAAAAAAAAAACAACTCTTCTGCGATGAAGGACATCTCAAGCAATGCCATGTACAATCAGTTAGCAATGTCTTTTGGTTGCATCATTTTCAGAGCCTACTGAGGAGTGTAATACTGGGAGTTACAGAGGGATCAAAGATTTCCTACTTCATCGCTAAATAGTTTCCTGAATCAGCTTTTATAGGACTGTGTCATCTATTTAGAGTAACTCCTCTGGATTTAGAATGTTTTTATTGCCTCCTTCTCTTGGAATGACTAAGCCTTATTAAACCCATCGATCCCAGTCAACCCACACTTACAAACCAGTCACAATTTACCCAATTTTACTAAAACTATCAGTGGTTTTTTTTTAAACAAAGGAACAAATATATGCTGTTGTGATGAACAATGAAACCTTTGACACTCGACAATAAACTGCTGTATCTCGAACTCGGAGGCGAGAGGGATTGGGGGAGTGGGGGGTGAAGGTAGAAGAATTAATAATAATAATAATAATAATCCTTGCATTTGATATAGCGCTTTTCACGTCGGGAGGACGTCTCAAAGCGCTTCACAGAACACACTGTAAAGTGAATTGACTGTATATTTGTGGGCGAACGCGGCAGCCAATTGCGCACAGCAATGTCCCACAAACAGTCGGGGATTGAAAATGACCAATTTATTATTGTTTTTGGTTTTGGAGGGATTATTATTAGGCTCTGTGTGGAGTAAGGAAACTTGCCCAAGGTTTCGCCCTCTGCCTGGATTGAACTCAGGTCTCTCACTTGCAAAGCGAGTGCTCTAACCACTGAGCTACAGGACTCCACAAATAATAATTAATAATAATAATAATAATAATATTGCAACTCGGTATTAAGCCGTCGAGAGACACAGACAAATCGAATCGTGAGGGCACCTGAGCCACCGGTGAAGGTCGGTGCTGCGGCGCTACACAGTGCAACACGAAGTGCCCTCTCGTTGTGTAAAAAAGGACATCCCCAAAAAGTACACAGAGCGACAGTACCGCTTTTACTTTTACTTACTTCTGTAAAACTGATTCCTTGCGCTCAGACACCCAGGAGAGGGCACAGCAGCCATGGGGGGGGGGTCAGCAAACAGCAAACACCTGCAATACACCCCCCAATGTCAAATCATCTTCAGGGGCGAGAGAGAGAGAGAGAGAGAGGGGGAAGGCGACAAAAAAAAAAAAAATTTTTGTTACCATCTAACGAACTAATTAATTTTTAAACTAATTTTGTAGTTAATTAGATGATTAGACGGTAAAAACAGTCCCACAGGCGATTCTTAGTGAAAAACCATTGAATAGCGTACGACGCGGTGTCGTCGTCGTTCCGAATCCGTCAGTGAACGAATGAGTTGAATGAGTTAAATCGGTTTAATTCACGAATGGATTTTAAGGAATCAAAAGCCGTTTATAACCCGAAGCAAATGAGGGTTTTTTTTTATATTCCCCACTAATCACCGCTGAGATGTGCGCAGTGCCACCGGGTGTTTGTTCGGCACATTCAGAGGGGGTTTGTACTCACGTTAAAAGGAATTAACACAGTGGAGGAGGTTTCCCGTCGTTATAACTTCTGGTGACTCTCAGTTGCCATCTCAGGACAACACGAAGCACCGAATCCTTTTCATATTTCTCTCTCCGTCCGTCTCTCTCGCATTTTTTTTTTTTTTGGGGGGTGTTTGGTTGATGTTCCTCTTTATTTAAACCTTCCCTTCTTCTTCTTCTTCTTCTTCCTGTTGTTGTTGTTGTTGTTGTTGTCGTCGGTTCAGCCCTTTTTGACCGATTGGTTTAAAGTTGATCGCACGTTCCAGAGCCGCCGACACACAGCGAAGTGAGGAACCCACTCACACTCACACACACACACACAACCGCTCGTCTGTTTCACTCACTCACTCATTCCTCCCCTCACTCACTCACTCACTCACTCACTCACACATTCACTCACTCACACACACTCACACACACTCACTCCTGGCTGCTCACTCACTCACTCACACTCACTCACTCCTGGCTGCTCACTCACTCACTCACACTCACTCACACACTCACTCACTCCTGGCTGCTCACTCACTCACTCACACTCACTCACACACTCACTCACTCCTGGCTGCTCACTCACTCACACTCACTCACTCACTCCGCTTTCATTTCCAGTTGGAGTTCAGCTCCGTTTGCGGAACAGAAAATGGGCGGCGGTCAGTCACACACCATACACTGTGCTGTTTACCAGGTTCACTCCGGGACAAAGGTTACTGAGTGCTGGGGGGGGGTACTGAGTGCTGGGGGGGGTGGGGGGGGGGGGGCGGGTACTGAGTGCTGGGGGGGGGGTTACTGAGTGCTGGGGGGGGGGGTTACTGAGTGCTGGGGGGGGGGCTACTGAGTGCTGTGGGGGGGGGGGTTACTGAGTGCTGGGGGGGGGGGGGGGTATGAGTGCTGGGGGGGTTACTGAGTGCTGGGGGGGGGGGGTACTGAGTGCTGTGGGGGGGGGGTTACTGAGTGCTGGGGGGGGGGGGGGCTACTGAGTGCTGTGGGGGGGGGGGTTACTGAGTGCTGGGGGGGGGGGGGGGTACTGAGTGCTGGGGGGTGGGGGGGGTACTGAGTGCTGGGGGGTGGGGGGGGGGGGGGGGGGGGGTACTGAGTGCTGGGGGGGTGGGGGGGGGTACTGAGTGCTGGGGGGGTGGGGGGGGTACTGAGTGCTGGGGGGGTGGGGGGGGGGGGTACTGAGTGCTGGGGGGGTGGGGGGGGGGTACTGAGTGCTGGGGGGGTGGGGGGGGTACTGAGTGCTGGGGGGGGGGGGGGGTACTGAGTGTGGGGGGGTGGGGGGGGGTACTGAGTGCTGGGGGGGTGGGGGGGGTACTGAGTGCTGGGGGGGGGGGGGGGGGTGGGGGGGGGGGTACTGAGTGCTGGGGGGGGGGGGGGGTACTGAGTGCTGGGGGGGGTGGGGGGGGGGTACTGAGTGCTGGGGGGGGGGGGGTACTGAGTGCTGGGGGTGGGGGGGGTACTGAGTGCTGGGGGGGGGGGGTACTGAGTGCTGTGGGGGGGTGGGGGGGGGTACTGAGTGCTGGGGGGGGGTGGGGGGGGGGGTACTGAGTGCTGGGGGGTGGGGGGGGTACTGAGTGCTGGGGGGTGGGGGGGTTACTGAGTGCTGGGGGGGGTGGGGGGGTTACTGAGTGCTGGGGTGGGGGGGTACTGAGTGCTGGGGGGGGGGTTACTGAGTGCTGGGGGGGTGGGGGGGGTACTGAGTGCTGGGGGGGGGGGGGGGGTTACTGAGTGCTGGGGGGGGGGGGGTACTGAGTGCTGGGAGGGGTGGGGGGGGTACTGAGTGCTGGGGGGTGGGGGGGTTACTGAGTGCTGGGGGGGTGGGGGGGGTACTGAGTGCTGGGGGGGGGGGGGTACTGAGTGCTGGGGGGGGTGGGGGGGGGTACTGAGTGCTGGGGGGGGGGGTTACTGAGTGCTGGGGGAGGTGGGGGGGGGTACTGAGTGCTGTGGGGGGTGGGGGGGGTTACTGAGTGCTGGGGGGGGGTGGGGGGGGGTACTGAGTGCTGGGGGGTGGGGGGGGTACTGAGTGCTGGGGGGGTGGGGGGGGGGTACTGAGTGCTGGGGGGGTGGGGGGGGGTACTGGAGTGCTGGGGGAGGGTACTGGGTGCTGGGGGGGTGGGTACTGGGTGCTGGGGGGGGGTGTTACTGGGTGCTGGGGGGAGGTACTGGGTGCTGGGGGGGTGGGTACTGGGTGCTGGGGGGGGTTACTGAGTGCTGGGGGGGGGGTTACTGGGTGCTGGGGGGAGGGTACTGGGTGCTGGGGGGGGTTACTGAGTGCTGGGGGGGGGTTACTGGGTGCTGGGGGGGTGTTACTGGGTGCTGGGGGGGGGTTACTGAGTGCTGGGGGGGGGGGGTTACTGGGTGCGGGGGGGGGGTTACTGGGTGCTGGGGGGGGGTTACTGAGGGACACGGTGATATAACTGCCAATTAGCAGAATTGAGATGTTTGACTTTATTCTTCCTTTGACTGAAAGGCTTCACAACCGAAACGTTGCCCAATTGTGTACCATTGGCTCTCGGGGTATTTCACAGTCCAGTTCTCTGTCTCCAACTCCCACTATCTTATTCCAATCCCACGGTGCCTGTCCTACAAATACACAGTCACTACACTTTGCTGTAAACTCCTGTGAAGCACTTTGAGATGTTTCAATGGCATTATCGTGCACTGTATCAAATCGAGACTCATGCCTTCCATTCCTTGGAGATCAATGCAGACCAATAAGGAATAAATTCTGGTCTACCTCCAAACTGAGGAACCAGTAATGGCTTTTGTGTCACAGATAGAATTCTCAACTGGCGTATATTTGATAAAACAGCTAAGATCGGTTACCAAAATCCAGGTAAAACTTCAAAAAAAATACTCGGGCCACTCATAAATAAACCAAAGCATTTAATTCCAACCATTTTTTTTTAAGACACAAATTGTTACGAGCAATTATACAAAAGTGTTTTAATTTTAATGAGGCGAAACTTGTGCACAACAGGAATGCAGTGTTTTCACATGTAACAACAACAGCAACTTGCATTTATATAGTGCCCTTCACGCAGAGTAGCATCCAGGAACACTTAATGTGTTTACTTTGAACATATTTGCTTAATGTGCTGTGAAACAATGCAACCGATTATGTACAAATATTTCTGCAGGCCTTGCCTTGATTGGTAATGTTTGAGCCTTTATCCTACAGAAAGGCTACTATATAAATGTACATTTTGTATGTACTCTTGAGCTTACTGCGAGCCACAGTCAGAAACAAGCCATTACAATCCTCACCACAGCTTCACTGGGGGCAGAGGACTGTCTCTTCAATGTTTAAAAATATATTTTTTTTNACAAACTGCACTGAGGTCAATCTGTGTGTAATCTGCAAATATGAAAAGTCAGCAAAACTCTTGTGTATGTATTGCTCAATGAGGAAACAACTTGTTTTTATTCAGTAGAACTGCTTATGCAAGTCTTGGAAAATCGTCGCCAAGTCATACACTATTTCAGGGGCTATCAAAACAGGTTTATAAATAGTACCCTCATTTGAAGATTTATCGTTGATCAAATTCAAGCAACTCGGTGGGGAAACTTTCCAAAATCATATCAAAAATAACTCTCCTAATTACAGAAAAGGGAGAACTTAAACTTAACATGTTTCATTATCCAGTTTTAAAACTCTGTAGATTTAATTTGGGGCTTCATGGACTGTGAAATAATACAATCAGTCACAAACAAGCGCAAGTAAAAAATAACCTCTGCATGTTTGCAGATGATAAACATGCAGAAGGTTACAGTGTACACGACAATGGGATAATGTAAGATATTAATAGAGAAATATTTGCAGGCACCCATTATAATTGGAAAAAGCTCCCCCAAAAGTCTAAAAATCATCTGCCCCTTTGACTAAACCAGCGTTTTAATCCTTAAAAGGAATCGTCTTGGTTAACAGTTGTTACCATTAAGGTAAATAAAAGCCATGTTATTGTCTCAGTTACCATTAATAGTCCAACGGGTGATACCAGGAGTGTGGCAAAGGGTCAGTGAAATAGAATAGTCAGGCTTCGTGGAAGTGATGGTCAGACTATTTATGTACATACGAGCAGGATGTCTGGAACAGGATTCCTATGTATAATGCCATTAATTCATCCTCACAGGGCTTCAAAGTAGGCTGCACACAGTGTGCCAGAAACATGTAAAACTCAAATTAAAAGTTCTTTGTTCAAACCACTGAACAAAGGAAGTCTAAATAAAAACTGATCTCATCAAATAATAATAATAATAATAATCCTTGCATTTGATATAGCGCTTTTCACGTCGGGAGGACGTCCCAAAGCGCTTCACAGAATATACTGTAAAGTGAATTGACTGTATATTTGTGGGCGAACGCGGCAGCCAATTGCGCACAGCATGAAAAGGTATGACATTGACCGGGGCTCAATCATTAGTCAGTAAACCTTGGTAAGATTCAAACCCCAAAGAAGATACATTTGGAAAGATTCATTGACTTGATTCAATCAATTGTAAAGGTGAAACTCTCCCCTTACTGTAACAAAGCAAGTTATGATAAATAATCCTTACTTTTGATAACTTTCATGTCGGCGAGACATCTCAAGAGTGCTCCACAGGACACGTTGTAAGTGGAGTGACTGCGTCTTTTGTAGGTGAACGCAGCAGCCGGCAGCAATAACTCTCACACAGCAATGCGCCAGGATCAGGCAGGGAGTGGACAAAATGAGCGAAAGTGACCAATTTTATGTGTGTGTGTGTGGGGGGGGGAGGGGGGGGGCATTGTTGACCAAGGCTTCAGGAGAAAGTCTTTTCAAATAGTGCCATGGGATCATCCACCGGCACTCGGTATCTCCAGCACAGCGGCCCAAACCCAAACATTTCCAAAACAGAAAGCCTCGTACATTCCATTTGGTATTTCCCCACTTTATATATCTCACCAAACAACCAGAACACGCAGTACCTTATGCTGGAACATTCTACTTTTTTTTTAGAAAAATAAGACACTCTGGTAGCACTTTTGACAGCTACCTTTCCGTGAAGTTATGTGTAGTTCCATGTAATCCTATGCCAAGATCACTCAATTTAGTGTGTGTGTGTCTTCACCTCCACCTAAAATGAAGGCAAACAAGGGCTGAAAGGTTGATTTCTTATCTATCTTTAGATTTCACTTACGAAGCCAGTTTGACCAGATCTCTCATTTTTGCATTGATTTCATCGTGAATTGCACAGCTGCTAAAGTCACAGCACGACTTCGAATAAAAACCAATCCTTGACAGTGCAGCTATTTTGTCCAGACAATGCCTACAAGGTTTTACTTCTCATACTGCCAGAAATCTGCCACTCAGGTTCTAGCTTATTCAATACTGCTGCAAGTGATTCATTCTCACTTCCAGCTACAGTACAAGCACAATAGGTGCAGGATACCCAATTTACATTGCCCACTCGGAAACTGCACCGGTCAGGGCAAATGACAGCCATAACTGAAGCCAATTTCAGGTTTAGTTTGCAACCAACTCTTTCCAAGTTGGAACGTTAAAAATGGTCCCTCTGTTTCTGTGGACTGATCAAGAAACACTTTTGAGTGAAGGCCAAATTAATGTCACAGCTCCTGCATGTACTCTGAAGCGGAATGATCAAGGTCATAGCAAAACTATCTCAAGGTTGTCTCAGCAGCCGGATCCAGTCTCAACTCAAGACGTCGTGAATTTGGCATTCGTTTCATCCTGTATCACAGAAAGCACTGTATAAACTTAAATATTTTACACCTATGTGTGTGTTTGTGTGTATCAATTTGCCTGGTTTTAATTTGAATACCAGATGTGTAGTTTTATTAAAGATTAGATTGTCTTCTTACATTGCTCACTTGCCTATTAGGAATTTTACAAACAAAACAGTACAATAGTTTTAGGTTACCCACTAGGAAGGATTAAAAATGGAAACATAACCAGTTGGGCTGCTCAAGTTTCTAGTTTATTAGGACTTAGTTGTTGATGAAATAAGTAGATGAGTCAAGTTATCTTACACAAAAATCTCAATCTCACGATTAGAAACTAAACGTGATGGTTTAATGGTGGTTAATATAAATTGTAGACTTGAAAGCAACGTATTTTTCTAGTAAGGATTATGTTTCTTTTAGAACTCCTGTGAGTCCTCGAGTTTTCTTCCATTGCTAAAGATTTTTAGGATGATGAGCCGGCAGATGGTTTGGTGGGTTCACTCGCATGTCGTTTCCTCATTAGTTCTGGTTTTTTCATCATTTCGGGAGGAAGGACACAGCTTATCTTGTCCCTGGAAAATAAAACCACATTTACCCGAGAAATCCAATGTATGGTTTCAAGTCTTCCCATACAATTTTTTTCCCCCAAAAAAATATACTTCATACATTCAATTGGCTGCAGCATTTCACCCACAAAATATAGTCAATTCACTTTACAGTATATTCTGTGAAGCTCTTTGAGACGTCGAGAAGATGTGAAAAGCACTATATCAAATGCAAGGATTATTATTATTCTCCCAGCTCGGTTCCAAATCCCTGACTGTCCAGAGCCTTGGGACGTCCTCCTGACGTGAAAGGCGCTGTACAACTTTTAATTTTTGTATTTTCTAATAATAATGCTAGTCATCCTTCCGTTCGCTAATAGCGCCTTATCCCGTCACCGAGACGGCTCGAAGAGCTTCACAAGAGTACGCCGCAAAGTGAATTGACTTGCTATTTTCTGGGCGAAACGCAGCAGCCCGTCGCGCACAGCAGCGTCCCCCTCAAACAGCGGTGGATTGAGTGACCAAATTATACATACATTTATTTATTTAGGGGGGGGGGGTGGGGGGGGGATTGCAATATCCCACAAAGAGCCAGGACATGACCGGTGAATGATGGATTGATGTAGACGAGAGCTCTGACTGTTCCTTGTCGGGGAGGACTTTGGAGTTAGGCAGTATGTTTCTTGAGGAGTTACAGACTTGCTGAGAGTGGTGTGTGTATGGGGGTGGGGGGGTGGGGGGAAGAGATAATAAGGGGTTATAGCCTTGTGTCCCACACACACGTGGTGCTCAGAGCTGGGAACCCTGAGACAACCCCCAGGCTGCTGTTAAACAGGCGCCTGCCTTCAGGAATTCTCTGGCTCTGTGGCGACTGACCGTCTGCGATGCAACATGCGATCCTCAAACTTCAGACAGTTTCAAGTTTAAATCACAGGGTTTGTGTTTGACCAATGCACCAGATCTCTCGTGAAACTCAACCCTCTCATTCTCCCCCCCTCCCCCTCCTCCCCTCCATCTCTCTCTCCCTCTCCTCTTCCCCTTTACAACATAACCAGATATGGGGCCCAAGATAACACATGGCTCTCCACATATTACTCCATTCTGTAGGGCATTGCTCAAAGAGAGAGAGCAAAAAAAAAGGAAAGGGATAAGTGATCAATCAATCAATCAATCAATCAATCAATCAATCAATCACCTGCAAGAATGTCCCAAAGTATACTTCATCCTTTACACCAACAATCTTTCTGCTCAATTCTTTCAGAAATGCAGAGACACCTTTAGGAAATTAACAGCACATTTATTTTTAATGGTCCCTGATTTTTTAACACAAAATGCTCTTTCGGATCTGATCTGAAGAGCAGAGCTTAAGGCTTTAAATGCTTTGAAAGCTACACCTCCACGCTAAGACCACCACCCCATCCCTCACAACAAAATACGATCGTTCGCTTTTTTTTTAACGAATCTCTCTCATCCCTCACTGCTAAAGATTGTTCTCATAGAAACTGAGTCACATTTACGCAACTCGTACAAATGAAGAGCGTGTAAACACCGCCAGATACAGAGATCAGCTTTAAAAACACAGAGAGACAATAAATCATATATATATATATATAGACAACCACACACACACACACACAACCACACACCCTTATACACACACAACCACAAACACAGAAACACACAACTTCATTGCACAATTTCACACACACACACACACACATAACCTCTCACACACAGACACACAACCTCACACACACACACAATCTCACACACACGAACTGTATATATATATATATATAGATCACGTCTACCATTGCACAACGTGTTGCTGAACAGTTGATCTAAATGGAGATTTGAACACATCGTGTGGTTAACTGTTAAAAGTGCTACTTTGCATAATGTCACGTTTGTTGATTATGTTTTACTAACAGCAGCAGCTGCAAATTGGCCACATCAGCCCCACTGCTTCACAGTGCAGTGTGTGTGAGGTTGTCTGTGTGTGTGCGTGAGGTTGTCTGTGTGTGTGAGGTTGTGTGTGAGGTTGTCTGTGTGTGTGAGGTTGTCTGTGTGTGTGAGGTTGTCTGTGTGTATGTGTGTGAGTGAGGTTGTCTGTGTGTGTGTGAGGTTGTGTGTGAGGTTGTCTGTGTGTATGTGTGTGAGTGAGGTTGTCTGTGTGTGTGTGAGGTTGTCTGTGTGTGTGAGGTTGTGTGTGAGGTTGTCTGTGTGTGTGAGAGAGGTTGTGTGTGAGGTTGTCTCTGTGTGTGTGTGTGTGTGAGAGAGGTTGTGTGTGAGGTTGTCTGTGTGTGTGTGTGTGTGTCTGTGTGTGTGAGAGGTTGTGTGTGAGGTTGTCTGTGTGTGTGTGAGGTTGTGAGTGTGTGAGGTTGTCTGTGTGTGTGTGAGGTTGTCTGTGTGTGTGAGGTTGTGAGTGTGTGAGGTTGTGTGTGAGGTTGTGAGTGTGTGAGGTTGTCTGTGTGTATGAGGTTGTCTGTGTGTGTGTGAGGTTGTGTGAGTGTGAGTGTGTTGGCAATCCATCCTAAGCAGTGTCTCCCCAAGATGCAAGTTAATCAGGGTCCCTTCTCTCTCTCTCTCTCTCTCTCTCTTTCTCTCTCTCTCTCTCTCGACAGAACTGCCAGAGGTAGAGAGCAGACATTTTCCCACCCACCCACCACACAAACTGCACTGAAATTCAATCGCCGTGTGACCAGTGGCTTCTGCTGAAAGTCGCCCCCGTTGCTCTGCTCTCTGCCTTCCATCACACACGCGCTTTCGTGCCGAGCTTTGCTGTGTCAGTGCAGCTGAGGGTCGGTCTCGCCTGAGAGGGGGTGAGGGCGAGGGGGACCCCCTTTTCCATCCCAACTTTAAATGCAATTTGTATATTGTTTTTCGAGCAAAACGTTCATCTTTTTGCAGTGGAGTCCTGTAGCTCAGTGGTTAGAGCACTCGCTTTGCAAGTGAGAGACCTGAGTCAATTCCAGGCAAGGGCGAAACCTTGGGCAAGTTTCCTTACTCCACACAGAGCCTAATAATAATCCCTCCAAAACCAAAAACAATAATAAATTGGTCTTTTCAATCCACGACTGTTTGTGGGACATTGCTGTGCGCATTGGCTGCCGCGTTCGCCCACAAATATACAGTCAATTCACTTACAGTGTGTTCTGTGAAGCGCTTTGGGACGTCCTCCCGACGTGAAAAGCGCTATATAAAATGCAAGGATTATTATTATTATTGGCAAAGGACAACACCTCACACCTGCAGTGCTCGATGTCTGTCCTTTCCCAGAACTGACATGGTCGATGCTACATCGTGTGTACTTGTCCTGTTTTGGATCCCCCCCCCCCCCCCGCATCAGCTAAGGTTGCGTTTGCAGAGAAATTTCACACACCAGAACAAACAGCGAATACACACACACACACACACACACACATGCGCTCTCATGTACGGATGTGGAGTAAATCCGAAGCAGTTATTTAAGCAAAATACACGCAGGAATATTGGAACTCTGCAGAGCCTAAACCACACAGAGCCCCGGTATCAGTGGCTTACACGCCATGACTAAACTGTCATGGAGCCAGTCATGACATGGGCTCAGGATTTGGGATCGTTTCGTACTGGACTACACCCAAACTGACAGTCATTTGAAAAGTCCAGCATTCATTTGGAAGGCACGACTTAAGACATGAGGGCACGAACCCACAACCTTCTGACCCAGAGGCGAGATGGCTACTAACTAAGCCAAGCCGACACTTGAGTGAAACAAAGGCTACGCAGTTAAAGCAGCGAAAGGTGAACAGGGAATGCGGAATAGTAAGTAGTCTTGTAAATACTGTGCGTCAAATTTGGAAATAGCACCAGTTCGCAGCACTCACTGCAACACTCGCCCACATGAGCCTCTGTCTCTCAGACATGACCTTGTGCGGGTACATGCTGGTGGCTGTGCTGTGCATGCAGATGCACATGGTCACTCAGTCAACCGGGACACTGCGGTGGCAATTGGCTGGTGTGTTTTCCCCAACAAAATATACAGTCAATTCACTTTGCAGTGTATCCTGCGAAGCGCTTTGAGACGTCCTCGAAGACGTGATAAGGCGCTGTATCAAATGCAGGGATGATTATTGTTATATTACAGTTGGATTTCAGGCAAACCAAAATGCTTCATAGTTTTATGTTGCACTGAGATACGGTTCCGCACAATCAGGAGATTAAGAGCAGAATGAAAATGAACGTCTTCTGTGGTTCCCAGACTGTAATTATATTCTGGCTCGTGGCTACGCCGACTGCATATTAAGACATAAAGCATCTTCCATAACAAGGCATCTAAATAATCATGGCTTAGAGTTAGAAAGTGCACGCTGTGTATTTTCATAATGTGCTTCATTTATCCTATATAGTTAATGTTACATGGGGACCTTTTGAAAATATTGCCTCAAGGCCAATAATCCCATAATATTTGTTTTAGGATTTAAATAATTCACAATTTTGGTTATTAAAATAAATATTGTTTCAGTGTACCGTGAGATCTTACAATTGTTCTGGACCGGGCTCAACAATTAGAAGCAGGTCACCAATAGTAAGATATTATTGTGGGTCTGAGGACATTTATGTGTGGAGCTGAATATAAATTTACTGGTGTAATCAAATGAACTCACTCTTTGTGGTTTGTAATGCACGATATTCAGATCCAAGACATCCTTTTGAACAAATTGAGAGTTTGAATTCAATTCAAATTCTGATTTAGTTTGAATAAAAAATTTCTGTTTTAAAAAAATCTAAATGCATTTAATTTGTTGCTTGGTATACTGCAGCCACCAAAACCCTCATACAGTGATAGAAAGCCCAGGGACTGAATGAGATGGATTTCTGCTTCAGATCCAATTATGCGCCATCCGTTAGATGTTTAGCGCTTTAACAACAAGAACTTGCATTTATATAGCATCCCTCATGCAGGATAGCATCCCAGAATGCTTAACGATGGTCAAACTGCCCGGGTGCCAACCTCCAATAATAAAAGCGCCATTAATATCGGAGCTTC